AATCTCTCCAAAACACAGATCAGGGTTCTCTTCTTTAACCTCGTGATAATGCTCTCTAGTATACAATATATACCCCCGCAAGGGCTTCTTGCACACCCTCCGAACATCCAGCCTTCTTCATAGTGCTCCTATGGTTTTTTGCAGTTTTTTATGGAAGGTTCCGAATCGTATGACGTACCAGCATTCCGAGTATCCGTAACACAAAACAGTGTTCCGAGTATCTGTAACACTGTTTTGATAGCTATAACCCTAATTTCCCTGGTATTCACATCCTTGTCACCGGCAAACACAACGACTAAAAATGTGAGATGCCAGGGAAAAAACGTGAGATGCCCGTTGTTTGGTTAATTAGGCTAACCCTAACGAAACCCCTATCCACCTCGGTCCCCTGTCCCCCTATTCTCTCTTTGGAGGCCTCCAAGGCCTCCAACCCCTGGTGCGAGATTTAGGGGGGGGTCAGGCAGCAGCGCGGGGGAGGGAAAAGAAAAAAGAAAGGGAGAGGGTTATCCGTTGGATTCCAGATTCCGAACCCGTGAGCCTGCCAGGTCATGTCGGAGACATCCGAGAGAGCGTGGAGGTCATGTGGGAGACATCGGAAGCCATGTTTACTTATAGAAAATAGGGGAAACGGCAATGACCGTTTATCTCCCCATAGGTAAGACGTCCGAAGAACATGAAATATGTCAGCAAATGCGTCACAAACACATGCATGATCGCAAATTCGAATCCCTTGCAACGGATACCGACAGACTTGCTCGCTGATTCTTTCCCAATCCCTTGCTCGCACCAGACCTTCCCATTTATTTGAAAAAGGCAACAACAACAGATCGCTACCACTCGCGAAACTCAAAACTATCGAAGAACAACAAATGGTCGACAATGAGGATCGCAACTACTCCTGGCTTCTCAAACTGGCTGCTGCTAAGTGTCAATCATTCATACCCATTCAACGAGTTGAGAGTTACAAGGCATGGATTCACTTCCAAGTATGTGATGGTGGAAGAAGACGAGTTTCGTTGTTTGCGCACAAACACCTTTGACGTGCGCATTCTTGAGGAGTTGATATACCAAGGAGCATGCAAGCCTCTTCCTCCTGACATGACAAGCATCATGGATCACATGTTTGAGTGGGGTCTTCAGAAGAGTCAAGAATGGTACAACCATGTTCTCTCCACCCTTTCTGAAATGCTGGTGGGGCCAGAACCATGTGAAAGGAAGGACATCTTCATGGAGTGCATCTATTGGTTAGTGAAGGAGAGGATCACTGAGAGCTATGACTTATCCTCCAATGAAGGGCAGATTGTGATGGCTGCTTGGCATGGGTATTACATCCAGTGGTACCAAGACAAATTTTCCTTTAAGGATTTCAGTATGATGAATGAGGAGTTCGTGACTTTGTGCATTGAAGATCTGGAGTATTCTGGAGGCCTGCGACCCCAATTTGCTATGTTTATTGATGGGAACAACCAACCATGACTTCGAATGTAAGTTAGTAATGGGTACATTACTAGAAACGAATTTGTCACATCTAATAATTTGTTCTTATTTCTATGCAGAGTATCCACTAAATCTAGATTGGCAATTGGCATCATGAGGTGGTCTTCCTCTCCTATGAGTCAACCACTGGCAGTATCGCTGACAGCAGCCATTTGGTGGAGGTGGCTGGAAAGGAGATGGCTGTATAGGTTGGAATTGCCGCATTTGCATGGCGAGTTGCATCATTTGAATCTGTTGTTGTCGAAATTGAATCAGGTTACTCATGTAGTTGTTTGTTGTTTGTGCCACAGCTGCTTGGGTTGGTGGTGGAGGTGGCGGGGGTGGCGGGGGTGTTGCTGGTGGAGGTGGTGGCTCGATTGCTGGTGGAGGTGGTGGAGGTGGTGGCTCAATTGCTGGTGGACTCAGCGGTGATCGAGTACATGCAACACAAAGACAACAATCATTTGGAGCATACTTCTGCCTTTGTGGTTTGAATGAAACAATGAACTCTGAAAAGAACCTCTCTCCATTATCCTGTGGCAATGGCTCTGCAGTAGGAAATGGTTCATGGAGACCCACAGCCACTGCTAGCTCATTGAGGAAAGCCAATTCTGAATGGTTCCAGTATGGAACAACCTTTTCCCATCCAGCTGGAATTGACCTCCTTTCTTCCAGACTGATTCTTGACAGGAAGGCTCTCTTGTGTCGAATGTTGAGGTTGTATCTGGCTGTTCCAGCAAGGTTGAGGGCATCTGCTAGACTTCTTCTCATGCCACTATTGGCGAAATGGGCAAACTTGTCATGGAATGCTTCCAGTTTGGATTCTCCTCTCCTTGACAGATACTCTGGGAGGCTGTGCTTGGAGTTGGGCGATGGAAGGATTGTGTCATACATGTCTTCCAAAGGCAGTGGATCAGCCAAGTGAATGGCTTTGTCAACACAGTTCTCTACTGCTGGTTTGGTATCAGAAGTGAACAAGGTAAAGTTCTTGACTGGATCCAGTCGGCCCTGTCCTGGCTGGCTACCATCACTGGCAGTCACCTTGTATCTGCAGAACCACTGTTGCAACTTCTGTCTCATGGTCTCTGGTTCTCTCATCTTCTTCCTTAGATATTTGGAGTACCTAGCTCTGAAGACCTTGGAGGCTTGCATATCTGAGATCTCTGCCATGGAGTAGCACTTGCCATTGGTGGACAAGAGGCCATGTTTCAATGCATGGAGAAGTTTCTCATAGTCATCTGGTGAGTACACGTACAAGCAATCCAACAGGTCTGACATTGCTTGAAAGTAATCAATGTGGCCCTTTCTCAAAGTTGACAGGATTCTCTTCTCATAATGAAACAGGCCTAGCCTTCCCTCGATTCCTGGAAAGAGTATCTCCCAGTAGTCATCCTTGTTGGGCCATGTGTCGCTGTACATGGCAGCTGGGTTGAAGTGGCTCCTCCTTGCTAGCTGCATGGCAGCATGGGAGAAGTGGATTGTCTTGGTGGTGGGAACAAGAACAGCAGAGGCAATCTCTCCTGTTTCAGTGGCAGCATCCCAAACAGCACCAGCACCAAGACTCTTGGAGTAGTTCTTGACCACCTGAAAGGTATGGTCTTGGCAGAAGATTCCTTTGTTGCACTTGACACTTTGGATCTCTCTTGTGTGCCTTTGGTTGTCACTGATCCTCCACGGATTCCTGTTTGAAGCACAGGCAGCATCATAGATGTCACGGATGGTGTCACCAAGAGGAGGAAACTGTCGTATGTAAGTGCCATCCTTTTGAAGAAAGGGATCTGGATCAGTGTCACTTCCCTCCCAATAGGAGAAGTATGATGTCATGGACCTAATGAAGTCTCTGTTGATTGCATTGTAGATGAGCCGGCTGCAGAGTTCTCCATTTCCATAGGTCAACATGATGGATTCGAAAGTCTCAGTGGCGGTCCTGTCCAGGTGACATGCCTTGTTTGGAAGGGCATACTTTGACTCCACAGGATAGAGGAGAGCAGCATGCTGTGGGATTGTGCACAAGACTTCAGCACTGTTGGCATCAAACCTTCTCTTGCAACAGTCACAGACCATTGACATGACAATGCACCAAGATGGAGCTCCAGTGATGCCAAAGATAGGGAACAAGGTCTTGTTCTTTGACCAGTTATGCCTCGCATTCTTGAGTTGGCCAGAGCATCTTCCATCGGGACAAGGGACTGTAATTCCACATCGATTCCAGTCCACCAGGAGTAGTTTCTGGCCAACAATAGAGTGATAGTGTGGAGACTTGAATTGCTCCTCTGTGGATGGAACTGTCATGGTGAGTCCTTCAAAATGTTGGTGGAATTGTGGATTCCTTGGCCGGATAATGGATTCTGACACAGTTTCTGCCAGTGCTAGCATAGCCAGTGGTGCTCCTTTGGTCTTGTGCTTTTCGACAAAGGCATTATCCTTCACAAGAGTGGTGACCTTTCGACAGAGAGCTAGTGGAGTTGTGCTGGTTGTGTTCCTTGTGGATGTCTTCTGTTGCCGGCTCTGATTTGGTTTGGCTGTGTTCGTTCTAGCAGCGAAGAAGGCATCTCCATTCTCTCTTGTGGAATGCTTCCAGCTTCCTCTCTCATTCAGTGGAAGAGGAGCACTGAAGTGCCTTGTGAGTCTTCTGCTCTCTCTGATGGTTTCCATTGTTAGCTCATTCAAATCTCCTCTTCCTCTTGTTACTGTATTCTTAATACAGAGAACGTGGTGTGATCTTTTTGGGATTCTGAGACCAAGATGCCTGGCCTTACAGATGACACACTTCTTCAACGGATCAAAGACTTCTGCTACCTCTCCTCCCAGTGTTGTTTGGGGTCCTTCTTCTCTGGCTCTCTTGGATCTGTTGTTGTTGTTGTTGTTGTTGGAGGCGAGTTGATATGCTCTCTTCTGCTGGGAATTCCTATTCTGACTTTGGCAGCCCATCCCTTCATTGTGAGTGGTAGCTGCTGTTGTTGTTTGTGGTGGTTCCATGCTGCTGTTGCTTGCGAAATGACCGTCGAGTGAGAGCGTTGGCAGAAGAAGGTTGGCAGAAGAAGAAGCGCCATTGTGTGGACGATCGGTGGAATCCGAGTTTCGATGTTGTCGAAAACAGAAAATGGCCACTAGGTAGCACACTAGCTCTGTAATCTTTATAAACGGTACGTTAAGTATATTTGAATCTTTGCTGACGCATTTGCTGATGTCATAGGTTGATTAGCCAATCAGATCACTGCCTTCTACCGCTTTCACCCCCAGGTGCGGCACAAAAGAGTTTCCTATTGGAAAGCTACGGATTTTGCCCAATAAAGCTGCTGTACCGGTAGCTAGTCGGTGCTACCGTACCGCTACCGGTTCTGTGGTCTCTTGCTGCGATTTCACCTCTGTCCGTGAGCTGTGGACGAGCCTGTGCCACTGCATAAACCGGTACTGTCATTGCTGGCTATGAAGGTGATTTGCAAGAACACAGCGTACAGAGCTCTGCCTCGGCACCAACTCTAAGGCGGCTCCCTCTTGAGTTGCCATGACAATGTTGAAATGCTTATGAATTTTGTTCACTCTTTATTAATTAACTGTACTGTTCGTAAGTTCACATTGGGTCTATCTTCGATGTTTTTCACTGCTTTTCGCAATATTCTTTTCGCCATACAGATACCATTTGCTAGCTCTCAAATTGTGACTCACTGCTGTCTTTCGCACGAAACACTTTTATTTGTTCCTTCTTTCTGTAAACCGCTTGTCTGTTTCCTGTCTTCTTTTTAATATTGCCCAGCCCCCGCTTCCATCATTGTAATGAGCATTTCTGTCTTAACACCCAACCCGACGAGTCCTCCTTGCTGCGGAGTCATGTCCACAGCATTGTCCAATTGGTTGACGGGCGAGACGACTCGACAATCAGGACATAGCACGTACTCACTCGCCGAATGGCAGTGTACATCCATTCCACAAACGACACAACTCGTGACGGTGATCTGCCCTCGTTGAATGGCTTTCATGGTTTCATCGGTTCCCATGAGGTGCATCAACAAACCGGGTGCAACCTCCAGCAATGGTCGATCGGGTTGTTGTGAATGCTGTGGTGGCGGCGGCCCCCTTGGTGGGCCACGACGGGGGGAATAATCTCGAGGCGGTGGGGGCGGAGGTCCACGCCGCGGAGGAGGAGCGTAGTACCCGCCACCACCACCACCGGCACTACGACTCCCGATACTGCCGCGAGTATCCCACGTGCTGCCTCCATACGATCTCATGCTGCGACCGCCAACGCTGGCTCCACCGTACATGGGCGGGGACGAATGTCCGTAGTCATCTCGGGGCGGCGGCGGTGGCGGTCCATCGTAATGATGTCGATAATCGGATTGAATAGTACTCTGATCTCCTCGCATCGTGTACGCGTCCGAGTAGAAACTGCGAAATCCACTGGTGGAAATCGTGGATTGCGATGGCACTCGCTGTAGCATGTTACGTCGAGGTGTTGGGTCGTCCATTCCTCGTGGCGGTCCTCGAGGATCCTCTTGATACTGAGGCGGGCCGTCGTCGTAATAACTGCTGGGAGGGGGTCCTCTCGAATTGGGTCGGGCCGGAAAATTACCTCGTTCACCGGGATAGCCACCACCCACACTTCGGCCACCGCCTCCAGGATTGTTATCTCGACTATAATTTTGAACCCGTTCGTATAAATCGCGACGAGGAGGATCTCGACCGGATGGAGAATACCGTACGGGACTGCGGGCTCTTGGGGGTCCTCCCCTTCCTCGGGTGTGATGTGTGGGATCATCGTCTTCGTCCATCAAACGAGACATACGGGGATTGGAAATGACGGATTCGGTCATGTGACTGGTCACCGATTGGCCGCTGCCGACATAGCGATCTCGTGGATCTCCCATTCGTCCCATCTGAGGTCGGGAGATGCTACTAAATCCAGTATCTTGGGACGTCACACTTTGGCCTCCACCCGGGACGGACTGTGCCCCGGGCATGCCGCCGCTTACGGAACGATCGTTGCGATTTCCTCCTCCACCGCCACTGTAGCCATATTTGGCCAAGAAATCTTGCTCGGTCATGCTGAGTGTTTCGGACGTGATGGAGGATCGTCCTGAATTTTGTGGCGGAGGAGGTCCTCGTCGGGGTTCGCCTCTACCATCCTGAGGAGGTGGTGGGGATGCTGAGGCACCAGGCATTTGGGGACGGTAGCCGCCTCGTTCCGGTGGATAATCGTCATTACCATTTCTTGGTGGCGGTGGACCTCTGGGACCTCCCCGTTGTTGATAGTCATCGGGAGGGCCATTATTTCTGGGCCCTCCTGGCCCCCTCTCAGGGTAATCGTCGTCATTATTTCTGGGCGGTGGTGGACCTCTGGGACCTCCCCTTTCTTGATAGTCCTCTGGAGGGCCATTATTTCTGGGCCCTCCTGGCCCCCTCTCAGGTGGATAATCATCATTACTATTTCGGGGTGGTGGTGGTCCTCTGGGGCCTCCTCGATCCTGATAATCATTGGGAGGACCAGGACTTCGAGGACCTCCAGGCCCTCTTTCCGGTGGATAATCGTCGTTACTATTTCTGGGCGGTGGTGGCCCTCTTGGTCCTCCTCGGTCTTGATAATCGTCGGGAGGACCAGAATTTCTGGGTCCTCCTGGCCCCCTCGGCCCGCCTCTGTCTGGCGGTCCGCCTCGATAATAGTCATCCGGATAGTCACGCGAAGGCGGTCTGCCCGGATCTCCATGGGGATTTTCGTTGCTATAATTTCTCGCGGGAGGTCTGCGCTCTGGCGGTGGTCCTCTGGAAGTCATGTAGGGGTCATCCCTACCGCCACCACCACCCCCTTCGCTGCTTTCACTGCTATTGGAACGTCGGTACATGTGGGCAGGAGGTGCCCGTGAAACTCTGGAATCTGAATAAGGGGCGTAACCCGGTTTGTCTTTGCCGTCGCGTTCGGATTCGAGGCGTCGTTGAATGTCCACGTCGTCGTCGTGGTTAGAATGGACCTGCAAATTGTATCGGGGACTGCTGCCACTTTGGCTGCTCATTGCCGTCGTCGTCTTCGTAGTGAGATGAGATGAGGATTATGCGTGTAGATTCCCCTCGTCCGTCTGTTTGGCTATGAAAAAAGGTGGGATTCAGTGACGGTATTCTATCTGATGGCAAGGGTTACGGGCAGGTTCGAAGAATCAAGAGGAATAGGCGAGTTGTCGTCTTTTCTTTGTCAGGAGGCCAGAATTTGTTATCCTTTTTCGGGGATGGGTGTATGACAATGGGTATCTCAAGTGGCTTGCTTTGCATAAAAGGAGACACTGGTTACTGGGGCATCCTCGTCGTCTTAGGTGTTGGCTGTCGTTGACTCGTTGCGCTGGTGTGGCGTTTTCTCAAGGGATCAATCCATGCGTTTTGTGAGATGTTTCGAGCTGCTGCCGAGAGGCGAGGCATGCAGCAAGAGTGCAAGAGCACGATACAGCGATACAGTACACTGTTGATAATGACCAAACAAGAGAAACGTGGCCACCACACTTCAATGTAAAAGTTAACAGTACCATTTCACGGGTGCTTCATTATTGAGATTACGACAAGCACGAATGATGCTAGGCGAAGTCTTATGCCCTACTGCCGCCGTCCAGAAAATAAATTTGGCAACTCACTCTGTTAAGTAAAAGGTGCCCCCCTGAAGACCTTTGCGCTCGAAGAGGGCCTGGCCGTTGTCGATTGATTGTTGAACCGTACGGTACCGGCGCAGCATTAGCAACATCAACAGCCTGGCCAGCCATTGGGGCATTGTATAACACTGCTGGAATCGTGCAAGTCAGGCAAGAAGGTGGGATTAGGGGGTCTTGGTTGCTGATTGTTTGGGGGGACGCTCGAAATATGCTTCACGGCAATTCCAAACTTGGAAAAGACTGGAGTGTTCCAAGAAGCGAAGGTTCGGGTTATATCGGTATTTAAAAATGTCCAAAGGGGCATGTTCTGTCACAAGAGAGTTATGACGCTTCAGAAAGCATAAAATGTCTCACTGGAAAGGAGTGACTGTCCAAAACCGTTATCTGATGGGTACTGTATCCGAGTTGGATCTTTGGATTTGGATCTTTGTCAAAAGCACCTCCACCCTAGCACCGTCCTCTACACTTTTACTTTTACTTTTGGGAGTTGGACCAGAGCGGGAGACCTCCCACCAGACCAATACTACTAGTATACTAATAGCATGAGGATGTTTCGGGGTCTTCTATTGGTTGCCATTCACTTTGTTCTTTCCTCTGGGTTTCTCGGTGAAAGACCGAAAAGCAAGGCTGCCAGCAGAGTGTTGCATGACGTCAACGAGGATGCAGCAGCGCGATACGAAGATGCCTTGGTGGAGTTGGAAAGTGAGGCGTTGTATCGTCTTGGCTGTCAACAATCGGATCTTTCCGACTTTTGCAACAAGCTGGAGCGTGGTTCCCTCAATCTATTCCCCGAATATCAACGAGCCTTTGTGTGGGAACCAGCCAAATCGTCTCGCCTAGTGGCCACTGTCCTCTGCAATCGCTTCATCCCGCCGCTAGTATTGCATGAAAAGTCCAAGGGAGTATTTGATGTCGTGGATGGGAAACAGCGACTCACAACCTTGCTGGGTTTTTTCATGAGCCGCAAAGACGCACGTTTTCCAGGGGATCCTGTCATCAAGGAAAAAATGATCAAGTTGTTACCGTCACTGTCACGGTTATCCAAACTGGACGAATCGTACGAAGCCCTGAATGGACTCTCCTTTGATGACCTGGATCTAGACCGACAGCGTGCCTTTGAGAGCTATGCCATGTCCTACATGGTCATCCCCTTGGATACACCACGAGCCGATGTGTTTGAAGTGTACGAGGTGCGTCGTTCTTGATTGATTGATTGGATTGACTCTCCTTGGGGCCGGTGTAACCGGATATTCTCAACATGACAACATACATGTACTCTTTCCCATTCATTCATTCACTAAAAAAAACAAAAAGGACATCAACTCGGGAGGTACAGATCTTACCCAACAACAAGTCCGAAGAGCCGTCTTTCATGGGCCTTACATGAAGATGATTGATACACTCAAGGACACGTGCACGGATTTTCATGCGATTAGGAATCCCAAAGCCTTTCAATCCGGTACCTACCAGACTTGTAAGAAGGACTCTGACGGGGAACTTGTTTTGAGAGCCTTTGCGTTTCGAAACAATGGGGACAAGTTCAAACCGTCCATTAAAAAGTTTCTCAATCGAGAGCTGGAAGGAAGCGAAGACTATGGCATATCTCCACGTGGCAAAAAGAAGGGAAACGAACAGCAACGTTTGATATTGCTTCAAAAAATGGTGGCAGAGCAAAGACACGAATTTGAAAGTGTCATCCGGGTGGCTCGGCAAGTCTTTGGTACCAGTGCCTTTCGAAAGAAGAAAGAGAGCCTCTCCAATACCATGTGGGATGCCAAATACTGTGCCATCGCTGAGCTTTTGGCAGTACACCGGGAAGTCGACTTTACAAGGGCCAAGGATCACATTGCCAAAGCACTGGAATATAGCATTCAATTTGGGTTCTTCTCGGAGGATGACGAGAAAACAACAGCAATCAAGTTTCTGGCACGCAAAGAACATCTCAAAAGGATCTTCCAAGATGCCTTACAAGAAGCCAGTGTACAACGAGACACTCGGCGGCAGTTTTCTCCCAAACTCAAACAACAACTATTCGAGGAACAGAACGGACTCTGCGGCCTTTGCGAACAAACCATTGATGAGCAACGACTGGATGAGGCCAACTATGTACATATCGACCATATCATTCCACACAGTAAAGGGGGTAGGACCACTGAATCCAATGCTCAGCTGACGCACAGCGAGTGCAATTTACACAAAGGATCAAAACACGTTGAACAAAACAAGTTGACCCTACCGGTATCAGAGGAACGCAGACAATGAAATAATACAGATCTTGCTAGCTATGTAGCCATCAATCAATCAATCATGCCAAGCCAGCTAGCTAGGGTAAGGATGAGGGATAATCTGAACGTATTCATGCCTGCCACAACCGATAGTTGGTCGAGTTCGCCGCCATTGAGCTGGGCCGTATCAGCAATCGATGCCTGTGTTGTATTGCAGGTTAATATCTCATGTTTGGATCATGCAAAAAGCTGCCCTGTCTAGCTAGCTAGACTAATCTTGTTTGGACGAGCAATGCCTCGCATGGCAGCAGTGGATCAAGAAACTCGTACCAACCAGGGTTACTCGGCATTTTGTCTGTTTGGGAAAGTGTTTTGGGGATTAAGTGTAAATGTCTACACACAGTTGGTAGACATAAGTATACAAAGTAGACATTGTGCGACATTAGGAGACATTAGTAGACAAAGTGATACATTGGTAGACATTGGTAGACAAAGTGAGACATTGTGAGACATTGTGAGACATTGGTAGACAAAGTGAGACATTTTTGTACTGTTTTACTGTACTGTGTAGACAAAGTGAGACATTGGTAGACATTAGTAGACATTGTGAGACATTGTGAGACATTGGTAGACATTGTGAGACATTGTGAGACATTGAGAGACATCCGTAGACATTGTGAGACATAAGCCACTTTTACAAAGAGCATAGAACATTTAGGCAACTCTGTAATCAGATACAATAGCCTTAAATAGACAAAATGCCGAGTAACCATGGCCAGCATCGGCCCAGTAGCAGTACCGGTACCGGTACCACCATAAAAAAATTACGTGGATCACCGAGATCCAGCAAAGATCCAAGATCCAGGCTTCGCGGGACTCACTGGCATCCCCCAAAACTAAACTGTTTCACTGGAGATCGAGAGATCGAGAACATCAACCAGCCAACACACAACACAAGTCACAAAGTAATCCTCAATCCATCATCAAACAGCTGTAAAGACTGGAAGTATGGGCCGGAACGATGGCAAGAGGGCCTATCTGCCCATCTTGATCATTCCTGGCTTCATGTCGAGTGGCCTGGAGGTTGTGGAATCCCAGAGCAAGACGGAATGGGAAGGCAAGAGGATTTGGCTCAACTTGTCCAGTCTCGGCTTTCAAACCACCTTTTTGAGGAGTGCCAAGGACGATTACAAGGAAGCGCCTGATGAAGGGTCGTCACAGTTGAACGACCCTCGCAGTGATGCATTCGGTGATCCCAGGTCGGCTGTTCTTCGCAATGCCTGGTTGCATCACATGTCACTCCAAAAGGATATGGTCACTGAGCGAGATGGTGTCCGAGTCAGGAACATTTCAGGTCTAGCCGGTGTGGACTACCTCACTCCCGGTGCTCTCCTCAACTATGTATCCTATGTTTTTGGGCCCATGATTCTAGCATTGCAACAAGTGGGTTATAAGGATGGCCAAAATTTGGACGCCGCACCGTACGATTGGAGGTTACCACCCTGTGCCTTGGAAACCAGAGACTCCTATTTTACACGCACCATGGGACAGATTGAAAAAATGTACAAAACCAGTCGCGATACACCCGTGGTGCTAGTGTGTCATTCCATGGGTTGCAAGGTTGGCCATTATCTTCTCAATTTTGCCAAACAAGCACGAGGCCAGGAATGGATTGACAAACACATCCATACCTACTGTCCCATTGGGGCACCTCATTTGGGTGCCCCAAAGGCACTGAGGAGTTTGGTCTGTGGGGACAAAATGGGATTGGATACCTTCTTGTCAGATGCCGAAGCTCTGGTCTTGGGACGGTCTCTGGGATCTGCGCCATTCTTAGTACCGGAAGAGTTACCCGACAATGCAACACCCCTTGCCATTCTCCGCATGGATGGAGCCATTGAAGTCACTGTACTGAATTCCATTGACACGGATGTATTCCTGAGCAAGCGAGAAGCGGGACATGCTCCTGGAAAAGTCAAAGTCACGGTTGTTTTTGGCGGTTCGAGCCTCACGACGCCCTATAACGCCATCAATGAACGACAACGAGTCCATTTCTACGAAGACTTTACCTTTCGAACAGAAGACAAGGGACCCAAAGACCGTGACAAACTGACAATCTTCCTCTGTGAACCAGGTGTTAGCAGCGCACGTAGGAGCGTCACCCCTATTCGTCAGGCACACTTGGGGTGTCGAAATTGCTTCTTCAGTCCCTGGAAGGCCAATTTTTGTGGCAATGATGCCAAATGGGCGATGCCTAGCAAAGAAAACAAAGTATTGTTTTGGCTCAACATTCTCTTCTTTTGGTGGCTCATCTATCCAATTGTCCGCTATTCCATCGAATTCTCCTTCAAGATTGCCTTTGGAGTTACGTATGGTGTCTTTTGGTGTTTGATCAGCGGTACCGTCATGTCTGCCGATGAATTCTCCAAAGTCTCTGGTGGATCGTCCGTGTTGGCCATGGCACGCATTCCCCACGTCCGCAGGGAGCTATTCCCTGATTCATCGGCGCGAACGGACAAGGCCAAGCAAGTGGACATGGATATAGACTTGGTGAGCTACCGCGACATGAGACGCATCTGTGGCTGGTGCTATGACAAACGACGAACGAAGCTTCGCGTCCGAATCAAGTGGATTCCACCACAAAGTCTACCACAACCCCGCAGCAAGTGCCGGCACATTATAGCCCAACCCACGGAACAAACCCAATCCATCAAGGGTGTCGTGGAACTGAACAAGAGAAAAAAGAAGAAGAAAGCGGCGTTCACGGCACGTTCGGGCTACGACATTTTGCGAGCCGAAGGTCTCTTCACGGTGTTTGATCACATGGATCAAATGTACGCGAAGGATCCGCTCGATCCACGAGGCTTTTCCTCCAAAGATGCGCCTCCGGCACGGGTAATCAAAGCAATCTACGGTGTCAACCTTCCTACCGAAGTGGGTGCCATTTTCAAGCGCCTTCGAGCATCCATTGGTATACCCAATCACGTCCGCAACCTTTTGGAACCGGACTGTAACGCTGTCCTGAAATTGAACCCCGATGGGGTGGTTGTGAAGAATGGTTGTATCTACGAGACGAATGCTGCAGGCAACAAAAGCGGTGACGGTACGGTTCCGTACTGGAGCCTGAGCCATGTCCGCACGTGGGAACGAGACTGCCAGGTGACTGTGGATGAGATTGAAGGAGCCGAGCATCGAGAGATATTGGCCGACAAGCGACTTCACCAGCTTTTGATAGACTACTGTTGTGCCAAATATGCCGTCCCGGAAGATACAGTGTAAAAATGAAGAAAGGGATGAGAGTTTTTAGCAACGAAAAGCGTTGCTTGTACAAAGAGAGACGGCTGTAACATAGAAAGAAACCGCAAAACATCATAATCTAACTAGAGAAAACCACGAAACGTAATCTCTAGCTGGAGAAAACATCTTGTTTTTGCATGTCAGAACCAACGATGGGCCCTCTTCCCAAGCAAACACAAACTTGAAAGCTTTGACCCTGTCTGTGGATTCTAGCTAGCTGGACGGAAAACCACGTAGAATCGCTCCGAACCAATTTTGGGCCCTCTTCCGAAGCAAACAGAGTTGAAAGATTTGATATCCAACAGCGGATTCCGTGATATGGATCCCTCACATCAATTGGTCTATCCTTGTGAGCCAAAATAGACCGTTGCTTCAGGTGGCCTGTCCGCATCTGGACCGTTGCTCTGCTCCATTGTACCGTTAGACAAACGGCACGGTCCGTCCAAACGTCCAAACAGCTGTTGAAACCCGCTCCCCACAAAAGATGGAACAAAAGATCCACTTCAGCAGGCCAATCGCTGACGTGGTCTTTTTTGACAACCTCCCATCAATGATCAGCATGTTTCAGATCTAAGGGCGAATGTCGGATCGTGCTTTGGGCAATAGATCTTTCACACATTTCAATGTTTATCCTCATTGCGGGACTGTGATTCACGCTCATTGGTCGGAGGCAGTTCGTCGATGTGATGTATCAAATTTGGCAACGCAGCTCTTTGCTCACAATAACATCGCTGCACAGGTGGTAGGTGGCAGCCAAAGCAAAAGCAATTAGTTAGATATCATCTGTTTTTGACAGCAAGCGAGTTGCAGGTTGCGGCCAATAAAAGAACGACGAAGCTACGAACATTCTTCACAACGCTCCCACTGGTGCCATTGCGTCACATCTTTCGTCAGCAAATCAAGCCAGCAGGTAGCATACCCACATTGCACAAGCACTCTCCAAGAGACACAAACAAACAATCCATCAGTCAACGGACGAACCAACCCATTATCTGTTGAGTATCTCATCCCTACTAGAGCTAGCTAGACCACCATGTCAGCATCTACCATTCTCACAGCGGCCGCCAAGACGGCGTCCAAGACCACAGTGCGGCGTGCCGCTCGTCGTTCCATGGCAACTTCTACCAGAGCAGTCAAGAAATCGGCCGTTGGGGTGATCGTACAAGCCACCAATATGCCATTATCCAATATAATGCCTTCCTTTGGATCGCCCTTACCATCCAGTGGGACCAGCAGCAGCAGCAGAAACAACAGTCGCAAGGAACTCCAAAAGCTATCAGGTTTGGCATCTGCCATGTCAAGGAGTAGTTTAGACGACGATACTTCTCCTTCTTCTTCTCGACGATCACTGATAGATGAAACAGGCCAAGTGAACATGTTTGAATTGCAACGCTTGGCGTCACTGTCACCGACGTCGTTGAAATTGGGTGACATGTACAAGTACGCTGCTAGTGCCGATCTAGAACAACGGTTACGAAATGCCCAATTCCTGCATCGAGAATTGCCCATTCGATTGGCACAACGAGCGTATGATCTTTTGTCGTTGCCACACGGTCTCTCCAGCGAATCGACACCGATTCGTCAAGTGGCACAAATGTACGTACAGTACATTCAACAATTCCTAGAATTTCCCTTCCCGCAAACCAATTCGCAAGAAGAAGGCTTTACCGAACAATTGCAAGGCATGGTCATGGATCGAACATCGATTCCCACCACCATTGCACAAGGATTGATGGAATGGCTCGACGATGATCGACGGGAAGACTTTGAATTAGGGCGACAACAAGAAATGGAAGATGCCCTCGTCAGATTCTTTACCGCTCGTGTCGGACTCCGATTCCTCGCGGAGCATCACATTCTCAGCAGTCCAAGTCAACGAGGAGGAGACAAATTGCGAGAAGCACAGACCGCAATATCGCCCTCGGAGGTAGGAGCCAAGGATCGAGGGTGTATTCAACACGATTGCAATCCCGTTCAGGAATGTGAAAAGGTGGCACAAGAAGTCGCCCGACAGACGTACGATTGTTATGGAATTTGTCCAGAAATTGAAATTGTCGATCGACAGTCGGACAATGCACAAGTCTTCACCTATGTGCCACATCATTTACATTACATGTTGGCCGAGTTGCTCAAGAATTCGTGTCGGGTGTCTGTGGAGCGGTGAGTGTCTTTGTTGTTGAATTATTTTCATTTTTTATTGTTTCGGCCTTTACGGATGTCATGCCCATATCTGATTTCGTTGTTTTTTACTTCAGGTATATGGAACAGGGTGGCAGCAACAGTACAACAGCCAAAATTTCTCCTGTGCGAGTGGTGATTGTCAAGGGTGCCAACGAAGTTACCATCAAGGTGTCGGACGAAGGAGGCGGTATTCCACGATCCACCATGGCTCGGATCTTCAAGTTTACCCACTCCACATCCCGACAAGAATACGAAGGCAACACCGATTTTGGTACCGTCGAAGCTGGAATCAAGCACATGAGAGGCTTTGGTTTGCCATTGGCACGCATCTATGCGCGATACTTTGGAGGAGAATTGACCTTGAAGAGCATGGAGGGATACGGATTGGATGCCTACCTGTATCTGCCTCGATTGGGAGATGCCTGCGAGAATTTGCCACGACGTGTCATTGCCAGTCCGGGAGAACAAGTGTCCTTGCCAGCACCCAAGAGGATCAACAAGAGTGGTACGCGGGCATTCAGTACATTGGCTCCCAATCGACAATCTGCCAATGAGCCGTGGGTGGTCGAGTCCGATGAGCTGGATGAGGCTGGATGGGAAGAATCCAAGACCCGAAGAGTGCTGCAAATTTTGCACTCCAGGGCGTTGTAAGAGGACGGATGACTAGAACGGAGGAAAAACAACCTTGGGCTCTACTACTGCATGATGTTGTACTGTACCATAGATGAAGAAGAAAAAGACACAGCACCTGTCACAGTCGTCTTGCGAGGAATGACTCAAGAGATCGAAATTAGACAAACAGCGCGCTCGGCGAAGTGTGAAACCAAATGCACGAGCGCTTGCACATAAACAAATAGCTGAATCGTTTTCAACCTCAGATACTGTAGTTTCCTGGTTGACAAACGTCGCCTTTCTCCTGCAAGGTAAACATGCAATGTAACAAACTTCCAGTTACAAACTGCGCATCTTCTGAAAGCCCTTTCGTGCAACGGCAGCCATCTTGATGATACCCTGGATAGTGTCCTCGTGCAGAGCATGGCCAAGGATATCCGTTCCACTGAAAAAGACGCTTAGCTCTACTCAGGGCGCCCATTATCACTGGCCCATTGGTGAATATCCCAATGATTCCTAGCAAAAAAGCAGCAGCCTGGCATATCCTTGCATCCCATGGACTTCCCATGTCACGAGCCCACCTAAGGATTTCTATATTCCCAGATTTGGCAGGTTGCTTCGTTCCAGCCAGGAGCATCCATTCCGGCCCAGCCACTTGAATATATGAAAAATGACCTTTCCTAACAGCTCCAAGACAGGTTGATTCATCCCATGTGCACCCTTTCTCATGAGCCCATTTCAGGATTTCCAAATGCCCCCATAAGCTGCATCGGCAGATGTGTCTTCATCCCAAGGGCATCCATTCTCATGAGCCCATTTGAGAATCTCCTCAAAGTGCTAATGTCCAGCTGCCTCTGTACATGTTTCCTCATTCCAGTGGCACTGGTTCGCACAAGCCCACTGCAGAATTTCCAAAAGGCCACCTGCTGCTGCAGAGGAGCAAGTCCCGAAGAATAGCAAGGCTGAGCCGAGCATTAACGTATCCAGCGCAGATTATACTACACCTTCCAGGAGGCAACCGATGGTGCTATGGTACTGTCCGGTACCGGTACGGGTACCAGGCTGTACAGTTTAAAGTCGGTTTTGGTCCATCGCTTTGAGACATCAGCGATACTATAGCAAAAACAGTACAATATCGGAAACCTTCTGTCTCACTCTCTATTTTCTGAGTTAAAGGGACTCAATGTTGGACCCAAATATTAATGCATCTCACCAAAAGTATAACAAAAATGAAATACACGTTTAACATAGGTTATATGATGTTAAATCATGAGGTCAGTATGGGTAACATGCTATCAGTCAATGGTACTTGAGGTCGATTTCGTATTGATCTACTTATGGGTCAATCGGACATTGAGACAGTCATTTGCTTATAGACGGTTTTGGTCCATTTTTGGGCTGTAGCGCTGGTACACTTTCTACGTGTCTGACCCACTTCCTTTATTAATACGGTCTGAGACAAAATATCTTGACAAGTTTTTGGCTGGGAGCCAGATTTGGCCCAGGTTATCGGGCAACAATTCGCGCAGTGTCGCGCGAATTATTTGCTAATAATTTGGGTAGCAGACATAACGACCGGTACTAAAAGGCACCCCTCAACCACTCGTCACCCATCGAGCTGCCACTTAATGCAGGCCTTTTCTATCTTTGCACCAAAAAGTTGTAAGAAAAGCTTGTCCCAGTTAGCCAGCTAGCTCATCCGCAGGCACGATTGAGAATCGAATTTGGCATTGGCACCATACCACAACACAAACACACTCTCCACGCTAGTCAACACCATGGCGACAATGCCGCGGCAACGCCGCAATGGGAGATTGGCCGCTGCACGAACGGAGCATGCTGTCACTGCACCCTCTCCAAGAGCACCATCAGCAGCTAATGGTCATGATGTTGCGGCAACTGCAACAGGTGGTGTTATCTTGCGCAATCCAGCCAATTCAGGAGTGACACATGGAATGGTTGGTTTCATCAACAACAAGCGAGAAGGCACCAGACCCACTAAGACAATCAAAGCTATTGACCCCAAAGTCAAGGAGTTCGAAATGTGGTGTGAATATGCTTACAAGAATGACCAATTCAAACACAATGTTGACAAAGATAAAGTCTACAAATTTATGTTTCTACAATCAATGCGTGAAAAGAAGAAGACTGGTGGAAAACGAGATGCCAATGGCAATGCTAAAGTTACTTTTGACAAGGAGCTATGGGATAAACTCGACAAGAGCTTCAAGGAGGGTGGAGAAAACATTGAGCTAGTTCCTCCCAAAAAACCTCTTGGCTGGTCCAGTTTCAACCAATACAGAACAGCGCTGAAAGGGATTCACTCCAAGCAAGTCGCTCTCGCTGTCAATGCCATTCCCTGGGAGATGATCTGGGATGTTGACTGCAAGAACCTGGAGAAGCACGTCAAAGAGAGGATCCCTGCCATTCGCAAAGCCAACTACGAAGAGAAAATCGATCAAGAGTTTGCTCCGTACGCTTGTGTTCAGAACTTCGGTCTCATTGAAGAAACGATGTGGGAGGATGCCAAGTCTGTGAATGGAGTTAGGAGCCTTTGCTCCAAGATCAGACACCGTATGTGTACACTTCTTCTCACCAGTGCCATTCTCAGGAGCGAATCGATTTACAGGGCAGAAATGTCTGATTTCTTTGGTCTCAATCCACCTAAAAGAGACGAGGATGTGCATGTCCCTTATGTGGCCATCATGCAGATCGCTCAAGGCAAAACCAACCACGGAAGGAAGCTGTTTGGTAGAGCGACTAGGCATGCTGACGTTCGGCGATGTGCACTTGGAGCCACTGCTTTCTACCTGATGCTCCGGATTGACAGCACCAATGAATTTGCTTCCTTCACAGTGGAGGATTGGATGGACAACGAGAAGTGGTTTGACATAAAATTCCTCATTGACATCCAGTGCAACGACAACACCAAGAGCATGAAGAACGACACATACAGTGACTACATCAAGAAGGTCCTGAAGCACCTTGGTCTTCCCAGCAACAAGCTGCTACATCTGGGGCGCAATATTGGAGCCAAGACACTGGAGCTTTTTGATGTCACAGCTGATGATATCAAGAAGATGGGGAACTGGAGCCCAAGCGTCTTTGACACCAGCTACTCTGGTAAGATTCCAATGCAGCAAATCCGACAACTCGCTGGATTCACAAATTCTTCCAAGATCTACTACCTTCCAAGGAGTGAGGTGATGCCAAGCGAAGCACTTTTGCGCAGTACACCCATTGGTAAGTGGTGCTACAAGTCATTGGAAGCCCTGCCGGTAGCTGATGAGATGTCAGAGAAGCAGACCGCGGCGGAGTGCCTGAAATTCTTTTGCGAGATGAACTTGATCTTTATTCAGGACATTGCGGCTATGATGGTATTGCACCCAGCTAGAATGGAGGAGCATCCCATGGTAAACTCCCTGGACTTTCTACAAACCAAACTTTTTAAAGTGAGTTACATCTATTGCCGGCCGCTGTGGTTTCAAGCTGCAATTTGTACTCATCCATTGCCCTCCTTTCACAGGACTATAAAGAGCACCTTGCCGTGTCATTGCAGAAATCAGTAAGCCCATTAGATGCCAACTTAGAAAAGGTACTCCCTGGTGTGCACCAGCGCTTGCAGATTACCCATGCGGCTGTTAAGGAATTGGAGAGCAAGGTCGACAACAACACTCTCATGGTCCTGCAAGAGGTTGAAAAGGGCATGCTGTATGTACAGGCGGCAGTGAAGGAGCTGGGAGAACAGAATCTCGCGGCCACTGACAAGCGAGTTGGGGCATGTCTTGTTAAGGCTGGTTCCCAAATGTTACAGGAGTCGGAAGAAGAAGACGACTTGCCTCCACCAATGAGTCCGCCTGAGATCACCGAGGAAGACGTCGATGAGGTTCTGCAGAATTCTCAGTTGCCGGCACCTGGTGGCACACCGGTTAGAAGATGGGAACAGCTGTCAGTTGCCAATGAACCAGTCACCGGCACTTTAAGTGATGCCAGCAAATTCCTGCTTAGGACCAAGCACACATCGCTTCAATGTGTATGGGACGAGTGGTTTGGAGAAGGCGAGTTCGCTGATGCCTACGGTGGCATCGCTGGTAGGAATGACAAGTTTGGTGCTCAGTGGCGAAAACATTTAAACAATACTCATGTATCAAGGAACAAGAGGATCGTGGTTGGCATCATGGAACAGGCCAAACAACAGAAAGTTCAACCAGAATCAATTATTCAGCATTGGGAGCCTCTTTTCACTGGTGCCGGTGGAAGCGTTGGCAAACTGGTGCAGAATCTGCAGGATTTGAACTATCTTTCTAAAGGCAAGCCGCGTGGGAAGAAGAAGGATAACAGCACTAGTACATGATTATCTTAATAATGTTTCTTTTGACGCAACACTTGTAGCTCTTGTTCTAGTAGGTCGTTCGCCTCCTCCAAGGCAGTAATGTGTAGATTCATCTTTTCCATCTCTTCGCACATGGCATCGATTGTGGCTTGTAGCTCTCTCTTAGTCGGTTTCTTCTTTGCGGCCTCTCTCTCACTCAATTTGATGGCTCTGATCGATGTAATGAAGATGGTTCTTTCTTCTCGAAGATCATCGTCGATGGCCACCCTGCACTTACAGGAGCCACAGTAACCTCTAAAGTCACCATATTGATGTTCTTTGTAGCTTCCGCCAATAATCCTGACTCGTTGTCCATCCTTGAAGGTGTTCATTGCCCCAATCAAGCAACAGTAGTCGATGTGTTGACTTTTGACCTGTTGACTTATAAGGTAGCGAACCTCTATTGCGAACCTCTCTTGTAAAAAATGAGCTTCCTTTACATGTACGTCAGTCAGCGACGTACGTCAGCGATCGGCGAGTTGGCGAGGCCTTTCCTTTAGCGAAACCGTGAAGGCCATTTCTCCCAACGCTCCAAGCGGGATTGCCGTGCAGTTTTGAATCTACCAGCTCCAATTATGGCCAACTCTGCGCCATCCTCAAAACAAGTCTGCGCCATAATTTCTAGGTAGGTTTTGTACTGAGCGTGACAGGAGGAGACCAGTAATAGACCGTAGACAAAAGGGCGACCTCAGCCAAAATCCATTTTTGGCTGCAGTAGAATCAGTACTGAGTCACGGTCCCTTTTCAATCCCAGGGATTTGCCACAGACTTTTTAATGAATAATTAAACTCGTACCAGTTGGTGCTGACCAGCGCACGCACCAGCACAAGGAATGCAAGACTCAATGATTGGGCATTGGATCTTTGGTTGGCTGGGCCTACACTCCCCTCCCTTGAACCTTAGATTCTATCTTTATAAAGAGAGGGAGTGCTCAGTCGCAGAGATGTTGGATAAAGCTGGACTCTCATTTGCAGACTGGTACGTTTATCTGTTGAACGCTAAGATGCAATACCTGCTAAATAATGCTCTAGCTAGCTAGCTAGCTGATCATCCTGCATTGAATTTTAATTTTCAACTCGGACAAGCGGCAAAGACGTACCACTGCCAGCGTCTGCCCACTGACAGGCCTGCTGCCTCTACCAGGGATGAAGCAAAAGGATGGCAGTGTGTTATAAATGGAGACTCGACTCTGTTATTACAACTTGGTAGAAGTTAAGATAGTTTACAACAATTGTATTTGAAAGTGCTAGCTAGATACACAGTATATTTTAAAAATACGGTAGGTACCAGGTACTACACGTAGTATCGTGGAACTCCACCTTTTCCTAAAATGTGTCACGCACTGATCTTATCAACAAGGGAAGAATGGTTTTTTTGTGCCAATGTAACGGCTCTTTGCGCTTGCGCACCGCCCCTCCTCACATTTTCCTCGCGGAGGCTCAGATGCTACTATCCTTACTTCTTTGATCAGAGTTGGGCACCCACAAGATACACAAGTAGGGACAATGCCGGTCCACTTGTTTGCTCCCGCGCTCGGAGCAGCTGCAGCCTGGGGGGCTCTTCAAGATTGTGAGAGCGATACACGAGACAGTCCGAAAGAAGAACGACCCAAGCCACGGCCCAACGAGACTCTTTCTAACACGCAGATTGCAGCCTTTGAAGATGCCATTGAAATCCAACGTCGTCGCAGTATGATGTCCTTTAGCAATGGCGGCTCTCCCACGAGTCCCAGTAGTCGATTCTTTCAGCAGGCGGCATTGGGAGATGATTTGAGTGTCAGCGAGAATGATAACAATAACAATGACGGAGAAAATCCCAATGCTTCCTACTTGGATCCACCTTCGGTCAAACACTCCACGTCCACCTACAATGAAAACCCTGCGGTTCCAGTAGGGTCCTTTACTGGAAACAACAACAACAATGCCAACAATACCAGCAACAACAACAATAACAATGTCGACGGCCCTCCCAGTATTCGAATGATCAACTCGTTTCCCATCACGGTGGATCAAAAACTCGAAAAGCGAAAAAGCGTCCAATTGCGACGAGGCAGCAGTCTCTACAGTGCCGGCGGTGCTGGAGGCCCCTTGGACTGTGTTCTCAGTGGCTTTGTCGATGGAGATTTTGCCGCTGGAAAAGTACGAGACATTCCCGTCGATGGATGTTTTGTCATGGCATTTTCACCGCAAACACACTCACTGCTGGCCGTGGGTGCTCGCAAGACACTGGATTTTTACGAAACCATTGGGTACAGTCTGGCCTGTCGATTTCCACGCGATGCACAAGTCTCGGCCGTTCAGTGGCTGGCGGCTGCTGATGACCATCATACTAATAGTAGTAAAGCAAAAGCAACCACCCGAAGTGGTCACCACAATTTGCTGGCGGTGGGGGATTTGGGTGGTACCGTGAGCTTGTTGCAAGTGCAAGAAGAAGTACTGGAAATGTACGGACCTACCGTGAAACATACCTTTCAAGTGGCGCATCAAATACGAGCCATTGAATTAAGACTTGTGGGCCATGATAGAATACTCTTGGTGGTGGGGGATAAGGGAGGCAATGTTACATTTTCAGAATACTCGAGAGAACTGGAGCCACTGACCAATCATGTAGCCGTATCCATGCCGAATGACAAAGTGCTGTCTTTGGCCCTACGCACCAATCCTCATCCACCACAGCAACAAGAACAAGATTCTGGCAATGCTGCAACGACAACAATGACATCGTATCTGGGGGTGAGTTTTATGGGTGGGGAAGCTAGGGTATATGAGTTGGATACAAGTGACGGCAACCTGAAGCTGAAACCGCAACCAGTATTTGCTCACACCCGACGAGGGGCGGTTCGTTCCGTCACCTTTTCACCCGACGGAGACCTCTTTGTCTTGGGAGGGTACGATAAAACAGCAGTTTTGGTGGACACACAACTCTGGAGGGTGGTCCGAGAACTCAAATTGGAAGGAACCATCAACGTGCTCGAATTTGACCCCGCCACTCGCTATCTGGCGGTTGGTACACGCGACAAGTCATTTGTGGTGTTTGATACTTCCACCTTTGTCGCCATCAAAAAATTTGCCTCTCCGGGATGGGTGACTGACATTTCCTGGGGACCCCGCAATTCGTACAAGGACTGTGTGGCGGTACGTTGTGAGCGAACGTGCGTTTCCTTGTTGGATTTGACTCCCATTAGTCGCACCACATTCGAATTGGAAGACGAATTGGATGGTTCCAAGGAATGTGCCATATCATGGAGTCAAACGGGACGGTATTGTGCTAGGATTCATGGATGCTCCGTGCGTGTCTCGGATTCCTACAACTCGTTTCAGGACGTTGCTAAATTTGAAGGAGATGGTACACTGCGGGGCGTTGCGTTTTGTCCTGCGGAGGGGAAGGAAAACATATTGGCAGTGGTTGGATTGGATGGGCACATGACTGTGTTGAAGCTGTGCCCATTTGGTAGTGGGTTGGTGTTTCAAGTGGTAAAGGCATTGTTTGTCGAGGAGCATTTGTGGGTCGTCAGGTGGACTCCTGATGGAGCCGTCCTTGCAACGGGTGGTAGAGGCAAGGTGCTGCACCTGTTCAATGCTCAGACGTTTGAGCGGATTCTGAGCCAGAAGATTGATGGCAGAATATGGGGTATCGACTTTTGTCGCACAGTACGAACCGACGCAACAACCAGCCCAAGGACTATTGCAGGTGTCACAAGCCCGGTCAGTATTGCCACGGGCAGCTATGGTTGGCAAATGGCCGTGGCATCTGGAGCCGACGTTGCCATCATCTTTGATACTTCTTTGCAACCGTGGCTCCAGGTACACCGACCCAGAACAGCGCGCGCATTGCGATATCATCCCAATCTACCTATACTAGCAATTGGCGATGGCTCTGGTTGCCTTGCGATTGTAGATTATGAACAAGAAGAAACTCTCAAGGATTTTCTTGTGGGAAGCCGCGTCAACACTTTGGATTTTAGCCCCAAAGGCGACTTCCTCGTGGTTGGTACGGACGACTGTGTCTTTACACTCTACGAAACATTTGTAAGTCTGATCAGATGTTTTGAATGTGAACTGAGGGAAATGGGGAAAATGCTCACATTTGTTCATTTCTGCAGACATACAAACCTGTTCAAGCCATACCAGTGCAAGGATTTGCAATGATTTCATCTTTTTCACCAAACGGGCAATGCCTCGGGCTTGGGACTGCTGAAGGTATATATTCAATCACGCGCCTTGGCCCCCTTCTCGGCGTTGATTTGGCACCCTTGGAATTGGGAGTTGACCCGGAGGTGTTGTACCGGAGTGGGGATGGGCCAAGCTTCATCCAACGCCTCATGAGGAAGGGGGATCAAGACAGTCTTCATTTAGTCGCAAAGATACTGCATCAACATCCCGAAGCAATCTACGCATTCGATCGTCAAGCCAAGGAATCGTGCTTTGATACGGCTCTCATCCTTAGAAAACCCAACTTACTCAAGCTGGCAGTGATGATTTTGGTTGACGGCAACCTAAAATTGGACAGTGACGCCATCATGACATCGCCCATTCCATTGAAAGCAAGGATGGCATTGGATACTATCCTTCAAGAGTATTCGCCAGAGTTCGTGGTGGACATTATGCGAGCCATGACGTTTCTGAAGGTACCTTTTTCAAGTCCGATGGTCATGAAAGAGGGAGATTGCAGGGTAAGTGTGTTTCGAATTTGATGAGGATCCTTCGCAAAGCATCCGCTGGCTGACTTCGGAGTACTGCATGCTCATCTTCAGGAACGAGGCTCGGATAGTTTCATGGACCCGTGGCCACGGAAATATAAGTTGACAAACGAAAAAGCTGAAGGCGTCATTTCACGTGGGACTGTCATGAGGATACCGGCTGTTCTGCCATTGCCGGGGCTAGGAACCATGCAGTTTCTATCCTCGTTGATTGAAAAAGCGCCACCTACCGTGTTCGACAATGATGCAATTGCCATAGTTTTGCGCGTGCTTTGGAAGAATCATATACAGAAATACTTCATTCTGGATCTCATCACCTACACGACTTTCTTTGTTTTGTGGATCGTCTTGGTCGACAAAAAGTCGGGCACGACAGAAGAGGAGAACGAGGGCACGGCCATGGGAACCATGGCAGTTGCGATCTCAGTTTTGATTCTGAACACATTGTTTGCTGTGAAGGAATTGGTTCAATCCGACTACGGGAGAAGACCTGGATACATTCGATCAGTTTGGAACATTGTCGATTTGCTTGCCATTAGCTGCGTCTGGTACTACGTCGTAGTGGGATGTTTTATCGATGAATTGAGTCCAGGCTTGGAACCACTAGCCGTGGTTACGAGCCTTCTTCTTACAGTGGTGAGTGGCCTCTTCTGATTCTAAGAGCGTTTTGCCGTTCCTGTTTACTGACAACCTTGGACTCGTTGACGCAGAGGCTTGTGGCATATCTGAGAGGCATCAGCGACACAGGGTGGCTTGTATCGGTCTTGACGCACAACTTGCACGATGTCCGGGGTTTCCTGCTGATCCTTTTTGTGCTTTTAGTGGGGTTCACAACAACTTTCCGCATTCTATTTCAAGATGTGAAAGGTCCTTGTGAAATCGAATATGATCAAGAGACAAGTACCCTGGCGGAGAGCTGCGAAGCCGCCCCGTTTGATTCGTATGCTCGGAGTTTCGTGTCTTCCTTTCAAATGGTGATCCTTGGGGAGTACGAGCCGAGCCTTCTCTACGAGAGCGAATACGCTGTCCTTGCAATTATCATCTTCATCGTAGCTGTTACTTGTGTTTTGATTGTGGCCTTGAACGCATTGATTTCTGTCTTAGCAGATAGCTACGCGAGGGTGCAGGCAAACGCAGCAGCGAATCGACGCAAGGAACGAGCTGAGGTAAGCTAAGCTGGAAGCTCGTTTTTGATGGTGCAGTTGCTTTGTCACGTTGATTCTTACCACAGCCTTTCTAACTTTCTTTCGGGGCATCAGCTTATCGTGGAGTACATGTCCATTCTGCCACCAAGCAAGAGACAATCAATTGAAAAAAGAACAACTTACTTTCATGCTCTGTTCGAGTCTGACGCCGATGGTGACCTACTCCTAGCCAAAGACGATTGGCAGGGAGGGTTGAATGCTTTAAGACGCGAGATGGAAGAGCTGATCAACGCAACATCAGAAAGGAATCAAAAACAGCTGGAACAATTCAAAACCGAGATTGATTCAGAAATCAACGGCCTGCGCAGGGAGCTGGTGTCGCTCCTCGAAGACATGGCAGGAGATGTTCGAAGCATTCGCCGACTGCAATCGCACGACGGAATCACTCTGAATGGTAAAAACGTCGCAAAAGCAGTCAAAGCTGTGAAGTCCATTGGACGGCATGGCAAAAAAGCCATCTTTGGAGAGCAGAAGCCTTGAGTTTCGTAGGAAGTGTTGATACAACGGGTAGTATCTCTCACGTTTCTCCTCTCAAGAGGAGCTGCAGTCGCCAAAACCAATCAACCGACTGGGTCACTCTTGCAACCTCGCGCCGCATCTGACATTCATCATCCAACAATTCACAACGACGAGTGGACTGTCAATTGAAAGTGGCCAAATAACCCGACGATCAGCTTATGAAACTTGGAGCTTACTACGCAGTACAGTTCGATCTGTCGTCACTGAATCTGGGAGCAGTTCGATCCAGCTTGCCACTGTACCGGTACTGGTACCGCCAGAACACATCGTGCACCGTGCAACTTCAGCCTGGTCATGTAGCTACTGGTACCTACACCAGCAGATCTCAGCTTGGTGCTGTTTGAAGAGAGTAACTTTGCAGGTACCCGGTCATTCAGCAGCAGATCTCGGCTTGGTGCTGTTGTCCCTGGCGACTTTTTATGACAGCTTGCAGAGCAGGTTGGTATGTTACCATAGTGTATGAATGTCAAGACGGCCAGCAGACACGAACATAGAAAGCTTGAGGATTACTGTAATAATTCGTAAAGGGATCAACATGCCGAAAAGCACCGCCCGAGTCGGAAAAAAAAACATGTCCCGCCCAAGTCGCGCAACCAGAGTTGATCATCCTCCACCACCACAACAAGGCATGAGCAAAATGGCCGGTCGTTGCAAAGGAGGTGATTCTGGGGTTGCGCCAATGGTCCCGGTATTTTCTCTAGTTTAGTTGCTCATGATTTCCAAACTGTCAATCGCGATTTCTTCTATCGTCTTGAATATGTGTATTGGTTCGATTCAATTCATCCGATCACGGCCGCCCACAACAGAGTGACACAATTGCTTCCGCAGCTCGATCTACACCCTCATCATTTAAATCCATATGCGTGCAAAGACGAAACAACTCTCCACCACGGCTGTACCCACCCGAAAGCTTGATTCCATATTCCTTGAGCAGGCGCGGAATCAATTCCTCTCGTGAGACTTTGCTGTCGGGTGGCAGTCCAAAAAAGATCAAATTGGTATCGACTTGACCATTGCGTGGCAAGAAAAAGCCATTGCTGTGCAGTTCCGCTCCCAATCGTTTGGCCCGAATATGATCTTGCTCGAGTCGCTCCACATTATTCTGTACGGCATAGAGTCCCATGGCCGCCACCACACCGGCTTGTCGCATTCCACCTCCACATCGTTTGCGTGCTCGTTTGGCCAGTCGAATGAATTCCTTGTCTCCCACCAAGACACTTCCCAGTGGAGCGCCCAGTCCTTTGGAGAGACAAATGCTGACACTGTCGACGTGTTGACATATGTTTTGGAGTGATTGTTGGGATGCCACAACGGCATTGAAGATTCTGGCTCCATCAATATGAAGTTGAATGCCCAATTCGTCATGTGCCAATTTCCCAGTGGCGTGAATGTCGTCTGGATTCAGTACGGCTCCTCCCAGCATGTTGTGTGTATTTTCCAAACAAATCAGAGCCGTCTTGGCACAATGATCATCGGTATCGAGCCGAAAGGCATCCCGAATATCGTCGTGTCGCAAGACACCGTCGGGAGTTTCTGGCAATTGTCGCGTGTGCACTCCTGCCAAACTGGCGGCATTCCCCGCTTCCCACAAGGAAATGTGCGAATTGGCACCAATGATGATTTCTCCCGCACGAGTGTGACAATGCGCCATGATGGAGACTAGATTGGCCATGGTCCCTGTGGGCACGTACAATCCAGCCTCTTTGCCCGCCAAATCTGCCATGTATTCTTGTAGCTGAATGACCGTGGGATCTTCGCCCATGACATCGTCCCCCGTTGGAGCTGTCAAGGCAGCTTCCAGCATGGGACGAGAGGGTGCCGTCACGGTGTCACTGCGAAGATCTACCACGGAAGAAGAAGAAGAAAAGCATCGTCTACTACTACTCGTCGTTTTCGAATAATGAACTGCTCCAGGGGAAGATCGATTGCACCCAGTCAATCGGCATAAGAGGCGTGGGAGGGCATTCAATCTCATTGTTATTGTGCTGACGGTAAGAGTCTACTATAAGCGTTTGTTTTAACTTGACAGAGGAAACACTTCCAAAGGCAGTTCTTTGGGGGTTTGGAGAGTGACAGTCAGCAAAATTGGGGACAAAGGCAATATGTGCAACGTGTCTGTCGTGTCCCCTCGGACTCTTGGCTTCCCTTGGAAAATGCTCTGGATTTTGAGCTTCTCCCCGCTCTATGGAACCTTCATTCAAGCGAACTGCCCCCCCGAGCTCTCACTTCCCTCCCATACAAGTTTGCTGGAGTCGCGAAATTACTTCGGAAATTACCCGCTCCCTTCTTGCCCCCTTGCCTTTAATTCCCACCCCCCCTAGCCCTCTCCACGACCCCTGCCACCCCTTCATTGAGCCACCACGTCACCCTTCAGAATTGAAGACCATCGCACAGCCCTCACAGAAGGTCGTATCAGCGCCACCAAACGCCATCACACGCCTACCAAGCGGCTTTCGAGACCCATCAAGCCACTCTCACTCCGGCTGAGCAGTCCGCCTCAATCGCAGTCGTTGCACTGGCTCCTGGCTTGCAGTCATGCCCGATATTGCCAAACGCACTCACCTCTCTGCTCAAGAATGGCGTGATGCTCTTTTTCTCCGGTTCGGTCTTACCCCCCCCCAGCTCTTCCAGCTCTTTGTGATGGCTGTACTGGTCCCTTCAGCGTTCCAAATGCTCTGGATTGCAAACGCGGGGGCTTAATCATCCGTCGCATAATGAAATCCGCAATGAATTTGGTTCTATTGCATGTGATGCTTTGGTTCCTCTAGCGTCCAATCAGAACCACCCTTCCTCTGTTCCCGCCCCTACTATACCTGCCGGTCACCAAATTTCTAACTTACCTCCCCTTCCTCCCCGCCTCATCAATCCCTCCAGCCCCGAGCTCTTACGTGTTGATCTTTCTCATTCGCGGTTTGTTTGAACGAGGTACTACCAGCTATATTGACGTACGTGTCACTGATTGGACTGTGCCTCTTACCGCAACAAAGATCCCGTCAAAGTTTTAACCCAACAAGAACGCGATAAAATTTCCAAATATAAAACGCGTGCGAGTCAATCGCGCTTCCTTCCACCCCTTTGTTTGTTTCAGTGGATGGCATGCTTCCCCCTCAAGCCAAGACTCCTTACAACGCCTTGCTTCTCTACTGTCCTCCAAAACTCATTTTCCTACTCTCAAATGAATGTTGCATTACACGGCTCTTAGCCTTATTCGCGACTCGATCCTAGATAGGGTTTGAGTTCGACTAACATGACCGAGTCTCTCGTGAATAGTAGATTTGAACAGGGTTCTCATTGACCGCGCTAGTCATACTAGGTTGATGATGAACATCGCCTAGTATTTAGCCAGCGTGGAGTACTCCAACGAGCTACTAGATCCAGGCTAGACAAACATCCACGCGTTCCGTTTTAAGGATCGTGGAGAGACGTAGGATTACTACCAACAACCTACTCTATCACACTTTTTATAGTCTCCCGCGGAGACCAATCTACGATCCTTTGATGGTGAATCTCTCGTTGATTAGTTTTCATAGCTTTTCTAATCTCTCTCATAACTTTCATTCTCTCAACTAAAACACTCGAAAGATCTTACACATAGCTTTTAGCGGTAGTGCATTTTTTAACTAAACACAATAGCTTTCAGTAACCCTCAACCTATTCCTTACCATGAAGATGGCTCAAGGAAAGCATGCGTTCCGCAACTCGAGAAACAGTTGCCGTGACAAACCCATTCTTCCTCTCGTCGACAATGACGAAAAGAACGAGATCGACGATACTCGTGCAACAACATGCAAACTTCGGCAACCATGTTGCAAGCTGCAAATCAGAAGACTCTGACAATGAGACAACTCCTCTATCAATTCCAATCACTTGGATGGAGAATTCTCTATCTGAGGATTAGACCAGGATGATGACTCAACGGAAACCTGTTCCGATTTCTCATACAAAGTGATGAAGATATCTCACTACTAGTAAACAAGAATTTTTTGCAACTGATGAACTCTAGGGCAAAAATTAGATGAATGCCTAGAAGCTGCTCAACTAGACTCTGATGATCTATTAGCATCGTTAACCTCGGTCGTGGCCAACCACCTCGTAAACGTCGCAAGACAAGAGACCTCAAACCATCGTCTATGTTAGATTTAACAAGCGAGAAAAGGGAAACCAAAAACCGTTACACTCCGTTGCTTTCTGGATACAGGAGCATGCGGAACCTTGATTGCTCAAACTCATGCTAAGAAATTACGCATGAAGGATCTTGGGGCGTCCAAACGATGTGGACTACTACCCCTGCAGGAGATTAAACACCAGCACGAAGTGCAAAGGTGCATTCATGATTCCTGAATTCCAAGAAGAAAGAATTATCGAATGGAAATTACACGCCACCAAGAACATGGAGGCGTATGACATGACCATAGGTCGAGATATTCTCTCTGACTTAGTTTCAAGTTTGTTTTCACTACCATGTCAGTGTATTGGGACGGCATATCTATTTCTATGAAAGATAGCGATACAATGAAGAAGAGAAACTTTTTTCATTCCTGATCCTACCGCTTGTGATGACAGTGCAGATCGTCTCAAGAAGAATTCTTGAAGCGAAATACGAACAAGCTGACTTAAGGCAGGTTGGCAAAAGTCAAGTATTCAGTTAACACGGAAGAGAAGGAACAGCTCAATTCCTTACTGACTAAGTACTCTTACTTATTCGATTGTACTTTGGGAAAGTGGAGATGGAACACTACGAAGTAGAACTTCTCCCTGATGCTAACCCCTATCATGCAAGGGCTGACCCTATTCCACCGGCGTCCCATACCAACACTCTTAAGATGGAGGTTGAATGTCTCTGCGAAGCAGGAGTACTCAAACAGGTAAACCGTTCCGAGTGGGCGGCACAAACTTTCATCATTCCAACGAAAGACGATCTGTTTAAGATTCATCTCTGATTTCACGGAACTGAACAAAAGGATTAAGCGGAAGCCTTATCCTATCCCAAAATACAGGACATGCTCTGAATCTAGACGGATTCAAGTACGCTACTAGTCTAGACCTGAACATGGGATACTTTCACATCGAGCTGTCACCCAACTCGAAGCAACTCTGTACCATCGTATCCGTGGGGAAGTACGAGTAACCAAGGTTGCCAATGGGCCTATGTAATAGTCCCGACATCTTCCAAGAGAAGATGGGAACACAAATGCACGACCTAGAATACGTTCGTGCATACATTGATGATATACTCATCCTAACTAACAGCGATCTAGCAGATCACGTTGAAAACATGGATAATTTCTTCCGAAGGCTTCGAGAAGCGGGACTCAAGATCAATGCTACAAGTCCTTCTTCGCAAGAAGATAACTTGAGTACCTAGGTTACTGGATCACTCGAGAAGTGATCAAACCTATAACCAAGAAAATAGACGCGTTCAAGAATATCTCTCCTCCTACTAACAGGAAGGAACTCCGTAGATTCATTGGACTATTGAACTACTTATCGAGACATGTTGATGAGACGATCACATGTAATGGCACCACTCGCTTTCGTTGCCTTCCAAAACAACGAAGTGGGAATGGGAAGCAGAACACGACGCTTTTAGTCAGATGAAGAAGATCATCAGCAAAGAAACTTGCTCGCCTACCCTTACTTCAACGATACAGTCGTTATCCAAACGGATGCGAGTGATACTCAACTAGGTGCGGTAATTTTCCAGAAGGGAAAACCTATCGCGTTCTATAGCAGGAAGCTCAACCCTGCTCAGACACGTTACAACGTTACCTGAGAAAGAACTTCTCAGTATCGTCAAAACTCTAAGAGTTCCGTAATCTTCTTCTAGGACAGAAGAACGTTGTAAATCAGGACACAAGAATCTTACATGTAAGACCTTCAATACCGATCGCGTAATGCTATGGCGCCTTATTCTGGAAGAATACGGCACCTGAAACTACGGTAACTCATCAAGGGCGGCACAGAACATCGTCAGCTGATGCGTTGTCGAGACTAACATCACACGAGTTCTTCAGACAGATCGACGCCCACAGCGAGATCGCGAACTCATGGCTGCAGCGAAGAGGACTTCCCTAGGATTCCCTCTCTCGTTCCCCAAGATCGAACATCGTCAGAAAGAGGACAACGATATCAAGAAGCTCCTCAGGGACAAGCCAGAACACTACAAGAAGCAATCTTCCCAGAGGGGATAAGTCTTACGACTTGTAGTTAAGGACGAGAAACGTCGTACCTAAAACTATGGCAGAAGAAGACTAGTTGAATGGTACATGTGTGCTGATGCATCCTGGCGAGACTCGCACGTGAACTAACCATCAGCAACACTGACACTGGAAGGGTCTGCGCAGCTGTGCAGGCCGTATGTCAGCGTTGCCAAGATGCCAGATGAACAAACCAAAACGCGTAAGCTGGCATTGATGCCTTCCAAAGACATGCGAGGAGATACCTTGGGAAAGAATATGTATTCGACCTGATAGGTAACCTTCACAATTACGTCGGGATTCCCAATGAAAAAGGAATCCTGTCCATTCTAATGCTTGACAATGATTTCTGATCCCGTGAACTGGGATGTTCGACGGATTGCAGACAGAATCTGCTCCAAAGGCAAGCAACAGAAAGTAGCCATCGTCAACACAGAACAAATCGTGGCCCCCTTTACTCGGTATCCACCGGCCTCACTGATGGAGTTATCAATGGAATACGAGAGACGTGAGATTCCGCGCAGAGTCGAACAAAGACACTCCGGATGAATTATGGACTTCTCGTCGCAAAGTTCATCCCTCGCGTAACACCCCTCAAGCCAACTCTATGGTCGAAGCTTGCTCTATCAGACCATTCGTAATTGATACGCTGTTCAAAAACATCAAGTGCCAGAGACCTCGTGATGGATCCTGGGATGGAGGTCTCACGGCGGTTCGCTTTGCAATGAATTGCCACGATTCATCACCACACTTGCTGCAACGCCCGCAAGCTCTGTGTTACAATCGTGATGCGATTCACAACGCCCGGTTCGAAGCCAAACTGGAATACATAATAGGAACCGTCGCCATAACGACTAACCCAAAAAAACAACGATGGAAAAACGCTAACGCGTGCCCTCATTCAAATACAATGTCAGATGGATACTGGTGATGATTAACAGTATCAGACAACGCAAGTACGGTCAAGCAAACCCAGAACCAAAGTCATGTCCTTACAACAATAGACCGAGTCAATGGACAACTGGCACCTTGTACCGCTTCACAAATCTACCGTTGCCAACTAGGCATGCATCAGCTACTACCAGACTTGGTAACATAGTATATACATCCCACCACAAGGCTGATCCCTTGGTAGTCGTTGGCCATCGTGCTTCGCACAATGTCTAATCCTAATTCATGGAGTAGTGCCCCGCATTTTAATATCATATGTTCTCATCCTTTCCGACTGACTGTCTGCGCGTTCTGTGACCCTTGTCAGGGGGGCGAATGCAATACACGCTTTTAGCCTTATTCGCCATCGATTTTCGATCCTAGATAGGGTTGATTCGACTCATAGACCGAGTCTCGTGAATAAGTACCATTTGACGACAGGTTCTCAATGACCCCGCTTAAGTTTCCATACTAGGTCTGATGATGAAACATCGCCTAGATTTTAGCATGCGTGGAGGACTTCCCGCTAACAGATCAAGCCTAGACTAAACTTCCACGTTCCGTTTTAGAATCGTGGAGAGACGTAGGAATAACTACGAACTCACACATCTACTCACATAGCTTTATTAGTACTCCGCGGGGTTACAGCCAGATCTACGATCCTTGATGATGACTCTCTCTCGTACGATTAGTTTTCATAGCTTTCTAATCATCCTTTGATGATGATCTCTCTCGTCGATTAGTTTTCATAGCTTTCTAATCTCTCTCATAACTTTCATTCTCTCAAACTCAAAACACTCGAAAGATCTTTACACTAGCTTTTAGCGTAGTGCAATGTTCTTCATGCAGACCCGTATCTCAATTGCCCTTGTGAAAGCTACCCATTTATGTCTCCGTGGGTCCCGCAAAGCCAAACCCTTTGCCCCCCGTAATGGTCCTCCATTTCTTGCCCCTGATCCCACAGAACCTAGTCCTGAATTTCGACTGTTCTTTGCTTAAGCCTGGCCCCGGCTGGCTTCCGTAGATAATTTCCCTACTCTAAACCCCCCTTATATAAATTGGGGACAAAGTAGGCAAAGACGAGGCTTTACAGAGACCGAAGATCCTACTGTTTGGAGAAGGTTCAGGTTTTAGATGCGAACTGTTGAGACGTGGATACTCTTTATCCCTGTTGAAAAGCTTCACCCTCTTCTTGTCTGCCGGCACCACGAGTTGCTGTCTCGGCTTCGAAGTTAGAGCTAGCTAGGAAGACACCACCTAGCTAATACTCATACTGCACCAAGTTCCACCAACACGCACAAGAGGAACCCGCAATGCCTGATCATACCGTAGCACAGAGCACCCCCGGCCCCTCCGAGTTTCCACCACAACTAAAATAAGCCAACTTGCCCGCGATCAGCCAAGGATCAAGAGCACGTGGTGGAATCTCTTTTCCGATGAGTTATGGAAATATCAAGTGGAGGCAGTCAGACCATGTACATGGCCTTGATCCTAGGTAGAAGACATTCCGGAGATCACTGCAGCCGTGTTGATTCTTTTGCACATTGTTGGTGGAACCTTCTTTGTCATGTTCTCGTTGGGAGTGTCGGTTGTGAGCAGTGTTCACGCCATGTGGGAAATCCGAGAGCAAAATGAGTGAGAAGGCCTTTGGACCCGACCTGTCCTTCCAATTTATGTGAATGTCTCGAGCTACGGTATGTATCGTAAAAGTATTTTTAGTTTCCTTTTAGAAGTGTCAAACAAAGGATGCGGTAAAACGGAATTTAGCACTAACAGAAGACGTTGGCCTTGAGAGAAAAATGGCAGCCCTCCCGAGATTGAGCTAACGAGGCTGTTCAAAACAGCACTAACTTGGTATAATGTGTGGACGATAGACCTAGTAGAAAAAGTAAAACGACATTTCAATGAACCGAAGTTCTGTCGCTGCCCACCATATGGACACAGAAATCCCCAATACAGTGTGAAAAGGCGCTCAAAAACGATAACTGAGTCTAAAAAGAACAAAGGCCTATGCATACTCCTAGTCGACCGTGACGGCCTTGGCAAGGTTCCGAGGAGTGTCGGGGTTGATGCCACTGTGAACAACCAAGCCAAGTGAAAGGAAGAGGAATGGTTAGACCAGGTTAATGCCGAGGAAAGCATCATACACGAATTGACTTCTCCAGACGGACTTACCGCATAATGGCTAGCTCGTAGGCAATCAGTTGTAGTGGAAGAACAGCACCCAGCGCCGTCATGGGCCCATTAGAAGGGATGACAATAGGATTGGGGTCAAGGTCTCGGGCAAGTGCTGCCTTGTCGGTGATAATGATGATATCTGCGCCTCTTGCCTTAACTTCTTCCGCCGCTGTTCTCATGTGATGGGCATGGTTGTCGTCTAGGATAATCATAATGATGGGAGTTGCACCGAATTTCCCAGTCTCGTCTTCAATCAGGGCGAATGGCCCATGCTTTAGAGCACCCCCGCTGTATCCCTCGGCATGCAAATAGCACGTTTCTTTGATCTTGAGTGCTCCTTCATGGGCAACGGGTTCAGCGTATCCTGTGAATCAAAAGACAATAGTTCCACAAGAAGACAAAAGGAGGCAGGGATTTGTTGGTCAGCGCAAAACTGATGAAAAAAAGCAACGATCATCGCTCGACACTTACCTTTGCCCAACACGAAGCAGTGCTCTTTTTTCAGCAAACGCTTCGCAATTTCTTGGCACTGAGGCCTTGTCTTCAGGGCCATTCCAAAGGAAATGGGCAATCTCATGAGAGCTTCCTTCAAGCGGTTGGCCTCCACAGAAGGCTTGCTTCCCTCCAACAAGTCCTTGGTTTGTCTAAACCACAAAGCAATCAAAGACAAAACAGTCACCTGCGTGGTAAAAGCTTTGGTACTTGCCACGGCGTTTTCTCGTCCAGCATTGCAGTACACACCCAGCTTAGTGCTGCGAGCAATCAAACTACCGACAGCATTAACGACACTCAGAGTGGTGATCCCTTTATCCATTCCGTTGTTGACGACACGGACAACATCTTTGGTTTCACCGCTCTGCGAGACAACAATCAAACCAGTTTCTTCCGGGTTTGATCGACAAGGAAAATCTTTGGCTTCAGTTTCGGCAGCATCAATGGAAAACACGCTGTCAAAACTGCCGAGATGCTTCATGAGACGTTCGCCATACCGGGCTGCATTGAGACTTGTACCGCAAGCACTGAGCGTCATGTGCTTGATTTTTTTCATGCGTTCCAAATTGGTGTCCAGACCACCCAAGTAGACCTTTTCGGACCCTAGCCGACCCCCATAGGCGAGGGCACGGGCGATAGCTTCCGGTTGTTCCACGCATTCTCGAATGGTCCAATGAGGAAACGGTGCAGGGTCGAGGATGACTTGTTGATCAGGAGCCCGTTGTTTGCGACTCAAATCCAAAGTCCTGCCATCAGCATGAAGAACACCAATCTCTCCATCCTTCATTGAGATAAAGTTCTTGGTGAATCGATTAAAGGCAGATGTTTCCGAAGCAATGAAGGTTCGCTCGTCGGAAATACCAATGACCAAGGGTGAACCATTGCAAGCCACGACAAGTTCATCAGGTTCGTCAGTACACATGATACAGAGTCCCCAAGAACCATCACACATGGTCAAAGCCTTTTCTGTTGCTTCCTTGAGATGGATTCCCTCAGCGTGGTAGATATCACCAATCAACTTGGCAATGACCTCGGTATCCGTCTGGGAAGTAAAGGAATGGCCCTTTTTTGCCAGCATGCGCCTCAAATCATTGGCATTGTTGAGTGTTCCATTATGCACGAGAGCAATTTTTCCAGAGGAGTCTATGTGTGGATGGGCGTTGGCGTCGGTTTTTCCTCCGTGTGTTGCCCAACGAGTATGGGCAATTCCCACGTGATGCCCCTGACTTTCTCGGGAATGTTTGGAAACCAAAGCAATACTATCAGCCTTATCTCCATCGCTGGCATATTTGGTGATGACCTATGTAATGACATAGATAGTTTTTGGATTGTTGTGTTGTGTTTTGAATTTTTTCATGGATAGCCAACATGTCCGAGAATGCTAAGGTGAGCCAAAAAAGCCAACTGATGTAAGACAGAATAATACTCTCATTTTGGCTTACCATTTTGCCTCCTTCAGACGGCATTGTGGCAAGTCCTGCACTGTCATATCCACGGTTCTTCAACACAGTCAATCCTTCCAGCAAGAACTCTCTGTCCAAAAATTTTAATTAAAAGTGAGAAAGGTTTTCGTATGCGATGCCGTTAATAAAAACATAAGACAACAATGCTACCCCGTACCTGGCATCATGATTGGGAGTTCCTACCACACCAGCAATTCCACAGCATTTTGTCTTGTGCTTGTCACTATTCCAGGCTAGACCTGTCAATCCAGCGGCTGCTGCAACCAAAAATCCAATCTGCTGACGGTTCTGGGCAGCGTTTTCTTGAGGTTGTTGGCTGATCACAGCCAAGGCTCGAGTTGACGTGTAGGAGACATGCTTCCTTACAGCAGGAGCTGCTCTGCTAAGGGAGGGAGAGGAAAATATCACACGACGGAGCATGGTAACGACGACGACGACAATAAAGGAAGTGGAGTCAGTGTCAATGGTACCAGGAGCTTTCTTCCAAATAAATTGTTTGGAGGGAGGTGAGAAGTGGAAAGAGCGATGGAACCGATCTTTTCGCGATCCAACGAAGATTCGTCGACGATTGCAGTCATGGATTGCCACCGCGTGTGACTTCCATCTCTAACCTGCGCCTTAGTCTCGTTTGGTTCGTGGGACAGGCGGGGTCAGTCCTTTCGTGCTCTTGGCTACACTGTACCTGGTACCGGTAGTTGGGGGCCAGACGAAGTCAATCGCAAGGCGAGAAAGGGGTGGAAGGCAGTGATCTGATTGGCTAATCAACCTATGACATCAGCAAAGACGTCAGCAAATATTCAAATATACTTAACGTACCATTTATAGATATTACGGAGTTAATGTGCTATCAAGTCCGAAATTTCGTGTTTCTGTTTTCGCGAAAGAAGGATTCCTCCGTTCGATCGATCGATCGACAATGACAACACCACCGGCAACACCACCGGAGAGTCATTATCTCAGCCAAAAGCAGCACCATCATGACCGGAACAGCAGCAGCAACAGCAGCAGCAGCAACAACAGCAGCTACCACTCACAATGGAGGAATGGGCTGCCAAAGTCAACAGAGGAACTCGCAACAGAAGAGAGCATATCACGCCTCCAACAACAACAACAACAGATCCAAGAGAGCCAGAGAAGAAGGACCACAAACAACGCTGGGAGGAGTGGTAGCAGAAGTCTTTGATCCACTCAAGAACTGTGCCATCTGTAAGGCCAGACATCTTGGTCTCAGAGTCCCCAAGAGATCACACTCTGTCTTCTGTATTAAGAATACAATAACAAAAGGACAAGGACCGTTGAATGCGCTGACCATGGAGACAATCAAAGAAAGCAGAAGACTACAAGGAAATTCAGTGCTCCTCTACCACTGAATGAAGAGGAAGCTGGAGGCATTCCAAGAGAAAATGGAGAAGCATTCTTTGCTGCTAGAACCAACACAGCCAAAACCAAAAGCAGAGCCGGCAACAGACACAAAAGGCAGCAATGGCCAATCCAGTAGCTCTTTGTCAAAAGTAACCACTCTTGTAAATGATACGCCTTGTGGAAAAGCACAAGAAGAAAGGAGCACCACTGGCAATGCTAGCTGGCAGAAGCAGCCCCATTCAAATCCATTACCAGGGCAAAGAATCAGAACTCTTCCACAAACACTTCCAAGGACTCACCATGACAGTTCCTCCACAGAGGAGCAATTCGAGTCTCCTCACTACCACTCCATTGTTGGGCAGAAACTCCTTCTAGTGGACTGGAATCGATGTGGAATTACAGTTCCTTGTCCCGATGGAAGATGCTCTGGCAAACTCAAGAATACAAGGACAAACTGGTCACACAACAAGACCTTGTTCCCCATCTTTGGCATCACGGGTCCTCCTTCTTGGTGTATGGTCATGTCATGGTTTGTGGAAGCTGCAACAGAAGATTCGATGCCAACTCTGCAGAAGTCCTGGTCTCGATCCCAGACCACGCTTCATTGCTCTATCCAGTGGAGTCCAAGTATGCTCTACCTAACAAGACTTGTCACTTGCAGAGAACAGCTACTGAAGTGTTTGACACTATAATGGTTACCTATGCAAATGGAGACCTCTGCAGCCGCCTCATCTACAATGCAATCAACAGAGAGTTCATTAGGTCCATGGCATCATACTTCTCATATGGAAGGAAGTGAAACAGATCCGGGTCCCTTTCTCCAAAAGGATGGCACTTACATCAGACAGTTTCCTCCTCTTGGTGACACCATCCGTGACATCTATGATGAGGCTTGTGCTTCAAACAGGAATCCGTGGAGGATCAGTGACAACCAACGGCACACAAGAGAGATCCAAAGTGTCAGTTCAACAAGGAATCTTCTGCCAAGACCATACATTCCAGGTGATCAAGAACTACTCCAAGAGTCTTGGTGCTGCTGCTGTTTGGGATGCTGCTACTGAGACTGGTGAGATTGCATGTGCTGTTCTTGTTCCCACCACCAAGACCATCCACTTCTCTCATGCTGCCATGCAGCTAGCAAGGAGGAGCCACTTCAACCAGCTGCCATGTACAGTGATACCTGGCCCCACAAGGATGACTACTGGAGATACTCTTTCCAGGAATCGAGGGAAGACTTGGCCTGTTTCATTATGAGAAGAGGATACTTTCAACTTTGAGAAAGGGACATATTGATCACTATCAAGCTATGTCAGACCTCTTGGATTGCTTGTATGTGTACTCACCTGATGACTATGAGAAGCTGCTGCATGCTCTGAAACATGGTCTACTATCCACCAATGGCAAGTGTTACTCTATGGCTGAGATCTCACGAATCAAGCCTCCAAGGTCTTCAACGGTACTCCAAGTATCTAAGGAAGCAGAGAGGTCACCAGACAATTAGACAGAAGTTGCAACAGTGGTTCTGCAGAGTACAAGTGACAGCCAGTGATGGTAGCCAGCCAGGACAGGGCCGACTCGATCCAGTCAAGAACTTTACCTTGTTTACTTCTGATACCAAACCAGCAGTAGAGAACTGTGTTGACAAAGCCATTCACTTGGCTGATCCCCTGGCACTGGAAGACATGTATGACACAATCCAGCCATCACCCAACTCCAAGCACATCTTCCAGGTACCTATCAAGGAGAGGAGAGTCAAGTTAGAGGCTTTCCATGACAAGTTTGCCCACTTTGGCAATGGTTGGAATGAGGAGGAGCCTTGCTGATGCACTCAACCTTGCTGGCACTGCTAGATACAACCTCAAGATTCGCCACAAGAGAGCCTTCCTGTCAAGAATCAGTGTGAAGAAAGGAAGTCAATTCCAGCTGGATGGAGAAGGTGTTCCATATTGGAACCATTCAGAGTTGGCTTACCTGAATGAAATGGCACAAGCTGTTGGTCTAGACAAGCCATTTCCAAATGCAGAGCCCTTGCCACAGGACACTGGAGAGAGGTTCTTCTCAGAGTTCATTGTTGCATTCAAACCACAGCGGCAGAAGTATGCACCAAATGATTGTTGTTTGTGTGTGGCTTGTACAGGAAGACACCGACCTCCACCAGCAATCGAGCCCAAATCCACCAGCAATCGATCCACCGACTCCACCACAATGGTGCCACCGCCGCCGCCACCTCCTCCACACCACCACCACCTGTTAGTGCCACAAACAAGAAATGTTTATGTTGGTAATTTGATTCTATACCAGCAACAACAACAACTTCAAATGATGCAACTTGCCATGCAAATGCGGCAATTCCAACCAATACTGCCATCTCCTTTCCAGCCACCTCCACCGATTGGCTGCTGTCAGAGATACTGCCAGTGGTTGACTAACAGGAGAGGAAGACCACCTCATGATGCTAATTGCCAATCAAGATTGACTGGGTATGGGTAGCAACAAGCAATCAATGTTTAGATCCACCAAATTCATTTCTAATTTAGCCAGTAACTTACATATCATTGCCAATGAAATCAACAACCATAGTCTCACTCATCTCTGTACATTTCTTGAAGGAAATCTTCTTATTGTAGTCAATCCAGTGGCAACAATAATAATGCCAAGCATCCATCACACTCTGTCCTTCGAGGGAGGACAACTCATAGCTCTCACTGACCCTTTCCCTCACTAACCAGTAGATGCACTCAATCAAGATGTCCTTCCTTTCACAGGGATGTGGCGACGGCGACTCCAGCATATCAGAGAGGGTGGAGATAACAGCTCTGTACCATTTTGGACTTTTCTGAAGGCCTGAAGCTAACATGTAATCCATGATGTCGGTCATGGCAGGAGGAAGTGGCTTGCATGCTCCTTGCAATATCAACTCCTCAAGAACGGTCACTTCCATGCTGATTGTGGCCAAACAGAAATTATCCTCCTCATCACTGTTGTACCCACAAATGACATACTTGCAATTGAATCCTTGCCTGGTCACCCTCAGCTCATTGAATGGGTATCTGTTGACACTTTGCAGCCACTTGGAGAACCATGGACTAGTAGCAATCCTCATTGTCGACGTTTGGTGGAGGACGTTCGGTGGAGGATAGAAGGACGACGTTCGGTGGAAGATAGCAGGACCGATCGGTGGACGCACTGGGGATAGAACGACGATAGATAGAAGGACGGCGGATACAATAGTGATTAGTAGCATGCCATTGTTAACAACAAGAACAACAACAACAACAACAACAACAGCACTCACAGAGATAGATCGATCGAACAGCAACAGAGATGGGAGGAAAATGGGAAGGTTTGGTGCGAGCGAAGGATTGGGAAAAGAGCAAGTGGGTATCCGTTGCACATTCAAATTCAAATGAACCAACGTATTCCCTGTGACGTACTTGATGACATATTGTTGTTCTTCGGACGTCTTACCCATGGGGGAGATGTCTGTTTTATATAGGAGACGTAGAGGGTCATTGCCGTCTCCCCTCTTCGCATAACTGATCTCTAGTCCCGGTGACTGTTTACTGGTGCCGGCAGGCTTTCAACGGCGGAATTGGGAATCCAACTGATAACCCTCTCCCTTTCTTTTTTCTTTTCCCTCCCCCGCGCTGCTGCCTAACCCCCCCATAAAGTCTCGCAACGGTTTCACCCTTTGGCAGGCTCTGGGTTGCCAATAATGCTGAGGCATTGAATCCCTCTAGCTAGCTAGCTATTAATAGTAGCTAGTAGCCAGACAAATAAAGTGGAGCTTTGTGAAGTTGCACTGGCGATTGAGAAACAATCGTCTTAGTTAGGGTAGGAACCATCCACGTACGAAGAGATAGCGTCACAAGAACAGTTCTGCAACCCAGGCCGAGAAGATGATTTTCAAGCAAGATCCATCCATCATTGACGACCATCTGTTTCACTGCCATATCGGGGTTTCGCTCAAGTAACCCTCATGGCAACCACAGATAGATCACCGTAGCATTAATAGTGTCATGGTATGGAATCTAAAGCAGCTTCGACAGCTCCATGAAGTACATGTACCGTAGCTGCAAGTAGCTCTGGTACATCGCATAGTGCTTCCTTGCTACGCAAAAACCAGTAATGCACCACTCTTCCATGAGTTGAAGGATTACTCCATTCTATTGGATCCTATTACTCAAATAAACTATAATTCCTTGTCATGATGAAGCCTCCAACCATGACATTCATTACTTCCCCGTGACTTTAGAAAAAAGCTGCCCCAGTCCACGAGCAAGATGTCATCTTTTTGATTCCACATAGTTCTCCCACTTTTTTGGTGTGTGCATTGCAAGAACAGATATTGGAACCTCCTTTTCAAATTCCAACTCAACAGCTTGCTCCCAACGTGGAATAAGTCGATTCTTCAGGCTCAAGGTCAAAAGTCCTGGATTTCCAATAACAAACTGGAGTGCCTGATCCTCCCCATAGCAATCTGAATAGAACTGTAGTGTATTGTTGATGTTATTGAAACTCATACCCAAGAGAGTTGGCATTGTCTTGATCATTTTTAACAGGTTTTCCTCATCAAGTTGAAACTTTGTTTGGAGGTACTCCATCTTTGGCTCAATTGAGTCTGGTATACTGAGACTCAAAGTAGAGGGGAGGCGTGATATCACCTGTTTGGCTGTTTCACAGCCAAGCCGATTCACCAGCCAGTGAAGTGTTGGCTCTAGATTCTCCTCAATGTTCTTTGCTAAAATGGCTGGATCCTTCCAAACTATCTTCGCAACTTCACTGTCAGTGATGTTCAGGCTTGATTGTAGCCAATTGACCTTGGAGGCCATAGTGTCCAATTTCAAATGCAGGATACTTGGAGCCTTCTTTAGGGGTGCGGCGATAGTGGTAGCATCACCCGCTAACCCTAGGATATCCTCCAGCCACTTGATCTTGCTTTCGATATTGTCGATAGAAAAATTCATGATATTTGGAGCTCTCCGCACTATCTTGGACAGTTCCTCTGTTGACTTCAGATCCAACCGCCTTTGTAGCCATTCTGCTTTTTGCGTTAGAGTGTCCCTCTGGAGTGTCATGAGCTGTGGATTTGTCATTAAAACCTTGGAAACTTCTAGATTAGTCAGGTTGAATGCTTGTTGAACACTATCCACTGTTGGCTCAATATTGTCATGGATTGAAAGGTTCAAAAGATCTGGCGTCCTTGACAGGACCTTCAGTAGCTGCTTTCGGCTCCACCCAAAAGTCTCCTGGAACCAATTCATTTTGTACTTCAATGTGGATACTTTGAAAGACAACATTGTTGGCTTCTTCATGATGATACCTTTCACTGTAGAGATGTCACAGCTGAGGTATTGTTGCAGAAAGTCGATTGTTTCCAAGCTGTTCTCACTAGTGAGTGTAAGAAAACTCTGTCTACGTTCCATGGTAGTTTCAATTTCAATGTCCGTCATTCCAAGGCGCTCCTGAATGGACACCCTCCGAGCATCTTCTGTTTCATCTGTTCTTCTTGGTCTGCCAGCTGCTAGAATAAAACTCCAAGCAGTTTCTGCTGGTACTAGTAGATGATTTCCCAACGAGACATGATGAGAGTAGCTTTTCTTGTGGACGTTGTTTCCTGCTAGAAAGGCATGCACTTTGTTTCCTCCTTGATGGAACACGAAAAGGAAGAACTGCAGAAGCAGTACCATTTGTTGCACAAACATAGAGAGGCACGAGGGTGGTTTCTACCGTAAAGGTTGGTGGGGCTTTGCTGTTGTTGCTTTCGGGAAGGTCAGGCTAGAGGGTGTGGATGGACCTGGACCGCACAATCTGGATCTTTATTGAAGCGACCTCTAATCAGCTTTGCGGCTTTCTATTATGAGCCATCCTTCGAGGTGGGCCAGCGATTTGTCTTGTAAATAATATGAGCCCGCACCTCTGGCAATTATGCCATCGTTTTGGTATTTAGAAGAGCGTTTTTCTCGCGAAAATTGAGCGACACGACCTGAGATGTCCGACCTTTCTCAGTTCTTTTATCGTTCTAAGTTTCAGGTCGCTATCTATCTGTCCACACAGGAAGGCGCAGGAATTGCTGCATTCTGGTAAGGGCAGATAATCAAACCCAAGATGGTCGCCCGAACATCAAGCGGAAGAGGAGCAAGAAACAGCAGCGGTAGCGCAGGTGTTATTAGCAGCGGAAGACTCGTTAGCACCAGCAGCAAGGATCGCAACCATGGCAAACCACAACCGCAGCCTTTGTCTACGGTAGTCAACAACAGCAGCAACACCAATTCTGGAGCAGAATCAGCGACGAGCTTTAGCCATTATCCCAAGATTGATAATGCTATCTTGACTATGAAATCGGCTCTTGGACGATTCACACGTGCCAATGATCGCCGTATGGTGCTAAGGACTCTCAAGGAAGTCAAGTACTTGAAGGCTTTGCCCATTGATCCACGTCCGCCTCCCATGGTGGATCTGGAAGAACTAGAATTGGAAGTTGCCAAGGAAAGTCTCGTCTTGAATGGACAAGCATTTCATCGTAAGACCAAGTACGGTCGTACATCCACTGATTTCTTACACGTGTTGCATGAGCTTTGTTACCAACTGTGCGAAAATGCCTCTTGTTCCTCGACAGCTTCTGTCATTGGTGTTGGCAACGATGCAAGTGCTAATGCTAGCATGATATCCTCTCTGGCCGTGACGTTGTCTCCCGATACTCTGTACTATGATCTCTTGTGTCGTCTCGCCCGTACCATCACTTCCTCCGACTGCTATGCCAAGCTTAATGAAATTCTAGGAAGTCATGAACTCAACTTGATGAATGCCAGCGCCGAACGCAAACCCAAAATCAAAAAGGGCAAACCTGGTTTTGTCAGTGACACTCCGCCTATTGAGATCAACATCTTTGAGGAAGGCGGCAACATTCATGCGCACATTGTGACTACGTTGGGATTTGGTTTGTACCGCAAACTGGACGTCAACACAGGACGACCCTGGATCAAAATGCAGGTGGAACTCAACGAACGCATGAACTTTTCATCTGGCAGTCAGGTCCGGCATATCACCATTCATTGGCCCGATATGTACGTCTAATAAAAGCAGCAGATCAAAGCGCTACAGTAGAGACAGACAACAACATGCTTGATCTTGCCGGCGGCGAGAATCGTGGAGAAGATCCCGAAGGCTTGACCAGTGCAATCATGATCCATTCAACCAACATGAGAATCTGCCTTCAAAAGAGATAAGGGTTGAGGTAGACAAGAAATAGAAGCCAAGCCAAGGTGAAGAAGTTTCATTGGTGTACAAGTAAGCTTCATAGTAACAATAGTTCCAAGAATACAGTTCTAGTAGTGAATCATGTGCAAGGAGGCCGTCAACGCAACCATGTGGGTATGGCTGTATGATTTTATGCTTTTTTGCTTCGCACAGTTTCGTTGCCCTTCTTTCCTCAGTGCCACAGCTGCAGTATTTTGCGTTGCCTCGGCGATTGCTTTCTTGTCACAAGGCCACAAGCTCTGCTCCTGATTTGGCGTCGGTCACCCGGTCCTGAAACCACTGGGTCAGAGCGAGATGGCAGTAGAACGGCGTTGTTCTGGTCAAACTTGAGGACTATCTATGTATGCATACAGCAGATTTGCCCACCAAAATAATAGTCTGGGTCTGAGCCAACATAAGCATAGTAGCCTCTCAAAAGGACCGAGAATAGGTAAGCACTTGATTCCAAACATGTTCCAGATGGATGCTGCAGTTCTTCCTGTCTCCCGGACAAGCCATTGTTGTCGCTTTCGGTGGGTCAAGCCACCACGCATGCATTTCCGTGCCGTGGCACAATTATGTTTTACATGTAGTTCGATCATCGTTCCTCTCCACGGAAGTATCTAAAAGGAAAGGTAGAACCGTGGCCGAATGTGCAGCAAAAGATGATTGAGTGACTGTCTAGTTGTTTATTTTTATTTATCTGCCCATGGTGTTGATGGTGCTGGTGTGGTCTCTTCTTCAGAGCTCTTAATTATAATACTAACTTGCTAGCTAGACACAACATCCTGTATAACAATTGAACAGCTCGCATCATGTCAGCTTGTACTGAGACCAGCCCCAAGAGACAGAATGTCTCACCTCCTTTCATCTCCTTGTTGATGCATCGAGACGATATTTTGGTGGGAAAGATCTTTCCTTTTGTTGGGATGGGTCACTATGCCTTTGTAGGAGCTGTCAGCAAGAAAATGAATCAGCTATACAAGGAGTACTGTGACAAAGCAACTGATCCTCCCAGGAGAGGTAGCACACACACATTGTACACAGCTGCTTTCTACAGTGTTGCGTGTGCCAAGTACTGGTACAGTGACAGTTCCAGCAACAAGACACCCGCCCGAAACAACGTTTGTGAAGCAGTTGCCAAAACCGGAAATCCTGCTGTCATTCAGTGGGCCCACTTTGAAAAAGCCTTTACCTGGGATGAAGAGGCATGTGGAGCTGCTGCTGAAGGTGGACATCTTGCACTACTGAAATGGCTTCATGAAAAGGGTTGTCCATGGGATGAGATGACATGTGCGCGAGCCGCCCGTGGTGGTCACTTTGAATGCCTAAAATATGCCCATGATAAAGGCTGTCCATGGGACCAACGAACTTGTCAAAATGCTGCAAAACGTGGGAACATTGAAATCCTTAGGTATGCTCACGAGAAGGGTTGTCCATGGGATCGACAAACGTGCTTGAATGCTGGCGGTGGTGGGCATTTGAATGTCCTAAAATATGCTCACGAGAATGGTTGTCCATGGGATGAACAAACGTGCTCTGATGCTGCTGGTAGTGGGCATTTGGATGTCCTAAAATATGCTCATGAGAATGGTTGTCCATGGGATGAACAAACGTGCTGTGATGCTGCTGGCGGTGGGCATTTGGATGTCCTAAAATATACTCATGAAAATGGATGCCCATGGGATGAACACACATGCCACTATGCTGCTAATTTTGGTCACCTGGATGTGCTCAAGTATGCCCATGAAAATGGATGCCCTTGGGATGAATGGACGTGCACCAGAGCTGCAAGGAGTAGTCTCAAAATTCTTGTGTATGCTCGTGACAATGGCTGCCCTTGGGATGAAGAGACGTGTTCTTATGCTGCTTGTTATGGGCATTTGGATGTCCTAAAATATGCTCGTGAGAATGGTTGTCCATGGGATGAAGAAACATGTTCTGATGCTGCTTTTGACGGGCAGTTGGATGCCCTAAAATATGCTCATGAGAATGGTTGTCCATGGGGTGAACTCACATGTTCTTATGCTGCTCGTGGTGGGCATTTGGATATCCTGAAATATGCCCATGAAAATGGCTGTCCTTGGAATGTGGACACTTGCAGCAAAGCTGCTGAACAGGGTCACCTGGATTGTCTTCAGTATGCCCATGAAAATGGATGCCCCTGGGACCGCTCAACATGGAAATCTGCCAAGAAAAGCCAAATTCCCAAAATAATAAAATATCTCGGCGACAATGGATTCCCTGCAGGGGGTGGTTACGACGACAGGCATTAGCACAGGCGAGGAAGAGTTTGTCTAGCTAGGGACCATACCGGTACAGAGACGAGAACACTAGCTAGGGACCATACCGGTACAGAGACGAGAACACTATAAACACTATAGAGAAATACGGCCGTGTAGCCATGAATTGAAGAAACAGTCTTCGATAGATAGTGGCTCTTGGGTGTGCCATGCACTGAGGAAAGGACAACGGGCCAAGGGTTGTGGGGGCAGCCCCAGAGGAGTTCTTGCAACTTGTTACTGGTAGGGAATAGCAGAAGGTGACTACATGTAGCTATGTGCGTTCTCGTATTCTGACTCGACTCATACCAGGTAGGAAGCCATTTGATAGTGCTATATAACATACAAAATTATAGATTGAATGAACGATTCCTTGAAGTGCATCAATGAAACATGGACACATGTATCCAGGATTTTGGTATAGTGAAACGATTGCAACCAGTCAGTTAGTCGCACGTACATTGGATCATACTGCAATTCGCAGTCACATCCACTACTTGGGTATCTCCACTGCAGAACTCCTCGGGAAGGTATCCCGTCAACAGTGTATCGGCGATATCCACATGCTGAAGGCTGGACAACAGACCAAGTTCACTGGGGAGACTTCCAGTCAGTTCAACGTTGCCAGATACATCAAACTCTTTCAAGTTTGTGAGTAGGCCGAGCTCTGATGGCAGAGTTCCAAAAAAGAAGTTGTCACCAGCTCCAAGATAGGTCAAGTTTTGGCACTTTTTGATGTTGGGATGCAATTTCCCACGGAATTGATTGGAAGTAAAGTTGACCTGCTCGAGGGAAGGGAAGAGCCCCCAGAGCAACCCGCCGGCCATCAACCGCAGCTTATTGTTGTCAACGTTCAGAATCCTGACATTGTCCCCCCTTGCAGCCATACCAGGGGAGATGGTGTCGAAGTGGTTGTTGGAAAGGGAAATGATTTCGACAGACACACCCGTGTGGAGGATGGGTGTAGGACCCGTAAGATTGTTATTGGCCAAATCCAGGGCAAATGCATGAGGGATGTGTGGCATTGCATTGAATGCGGACATGTCAGGGATGGTGCCTGCAAGGTTGTTGTCCGCCATGGCAAACAAGCGCAGGTTATTGTCCTCGTCGCAGACCGGCATACCGATCAACTCGTCCACGACGGTGTTGAAATACCAGTCACATTCGGAAACATCGTAATCCAACCATCCATCATTGTGGAACCAATTGTCTCCGTCCGTGCCGTAGTAGAGAATGGCCAAAACGAACCTCTGTAGCTGCCGTTCATCCGAGTAGGTATGCAAGTTTGGATCATTGAGCATCCAGATGTTGCCGTAGTAGATGGGAGAACCAATGGTCTCGATGGCTTTGATGGAAGCAGGAGGCATGCCATCACGGAAGGGAGGGTAGATGGCGGCTGGTGCATCTTCCGCAGGAGTTGCATTCCAACCGACCGTGCTGGGCCTGGTAAAAGCCGGGGAGGAGGAATCGTCGTCTGGTCTGGTGAAAAAGATGGCGAGGAACAAGATGATCCCCACTACCACCAAAAGAGCGACAACCCAGAACCACCGATTGGGTGCTGGTTCTTCTTCCACGATTCTGTCGTGAAGAATGTGTCCATCAATGACTTCGGCGGATTCATCAAGATGCGCGCCTCGGTTGCTTGTAACAGAAGCATCGACAAGGTCTGTTTCTTGTTCCGGAAGCACCAAAGTGGCACCATCAATGACATGCGTGTAGACTTCTTCCTCCACATCGGTATTGGGTTCCACCGCGGCTTGCTGCTGTCGTCGTGGTCGTCGCTGTTGGTCTGCTGCAGTTGCTCCCATTTCTCCTCCAATACGTTGTGCACCTGGACGAACTTGAGCTCTGCGTCGTGCCTCTTGTCTTGTCAAGCCAGTGGGCAGTGGCATTGGCATGTCCACAATGTCGTCAAAGGCATTGTTGATGTCGTGGATGCCATTATTATTAGTACCGTGGTCCTGGCTAGAGGCATCGTTCCCATCCGAGTCGGTGGACCCTTCTGTGGCCGTCTGAGTGGATTCACTCATCATGGAGTAATCCGTGAATGCTCCTCCACGCTCTTCCTCTTTCTCCAAGTCTCCTTCTTCTGGATGCTCACCACCTTTGGAAAGATCTTGACTTTCGCTGGATTGGTCCATGACTGGCGGGTCTGCTGTTGACGGGTCTGCCTTGTTCTTCTGCTGCTCAAGCATCATCTGGTTCTCCTCGTCGGGAACTTCACCATTCATTTGGATGGATTGGTTCACTACTTGTTCCGAAGGAAGCACCGCTCTGGCCATTTCAATCTTTTCCAACAAGGGGTCCTGTTGGGTCAATGTCTCAAAGGAAGAGGGTGCTGTTTCATCAGGAAGAAAAGTAGTCACACTTTCCTCTTCTCCTTCTTCTTCCATACCGCCGCCGGTGGATGTTGTCTCATCGACATCTTCGTTGGATCCAAAGGTTTCGGGGTCAACGTCGGGCATCCTGTTGTGTTCTGTCATTGTAATGAGTTTTGAAGAAAAAAAGATTTTCTCGGCAAAGTGAGTGAACTGAAGATAGGCAAGATCAGGGTATTGCAAAGTTGGACCAAAGCAAAATTATGGATCCTCTTTACCGGTATCTACAATCTCAAACAGCTAGATAGAGTTGCTGAAGCCGAGGAAAGGTGACTTAGTCTGATGGCTACGAATACCGGTGGCAGCTTCATGCTTCATGCAATGTTCAGCATTGACAACGGTACGGGGTACGGTACGGCGGTTGATACGCTGTAAAGGCGCGGAGGTAGTGGTGTGTACCGGTGTACCATACCGCATGCAGATCTTTGTTGTTCCTTTTGTTCTTTTGTGTCTTCTTTTGTTCCTCTACTGCGAGCACTTTGTACCGCGCGGAAATCATTGACTTAAAGTCAAAAGGAGTTGTACAAGACATTGTTAATTCAAGGGCTTGCAATAGAAAAAGAGAAAGTTCCCTTTGCCTCTCTGGGGGTCAAGCCTCTATTTCAAGTGTGCTATTTTGGTCTTGCTTTAGCAGAACGACATAGAAATGCCGGATGTATCTTCAACAGCAGAGAAAGCCTGCCGTACTAACAGTACAAAACCGACACTAAGATCACCATTGGTCACACGAGTTTCGCTACTAAAGAACCACGAGCAGTACCGGTAACGCAATTGACCTTAGTAATACCTTCATAAACAGCTTGGCTACCTTGTTGTGGTTTCTAGGTTCAGCATCCAACATAATGGATCCTTGTGGGCAACGCACTTTGCCAGTACCAAACTTTACCCAAAGACCCTTGACACAGCTTAACTGGTCCTTGAAGGATAGGGTAACAATCTTCTCTCCAGATCCAAACTCATCAACAAACACAGCCTGCTTGGAGCTGACCTTCTCATGGTTGCTTATCTTCATTTCATTTAAACTTTTCTGGGTCAGCCAGCATTGGAGATTCCATTCAGCATGTATGTATGTAACCACCATAACGTTTGCACTAACCAACCTCTACCAAAAACATGCTGACAACATTTGACTCAACGAATGAGAATGTATGTACTAGTAGCATGCCAGTGAATCCAGTTGAATGAGCAAAAGCGAGGTTGCCGAGAAAAAGTGAAAACCATACCATCCCAGGTCTCATCCCGCAAGGGGTGAGGATTGCAGGTTTCCCAAGTTACAACCATCACCTTTTTCATCTGTAGACTCAATTAGTTAGCCTTGTGTGATCAGAATCAGAAAGAGGCCCTGCTGGCTGACCATGATGTATGCCAGGGGTGGTCAATCTGGTATCTGCAACCCCCAAGCAAATTCTACGACAACAATAATTGAAGGCTTGATTGAAACATCAACAACAAGACTTCATCCTCAGAACAATCAATATGCATGAGCACCATCAACATCATTGGTGCGCACTATGAATGGGAGAATCCATCTTGATGGCCGTCTGTGCACTTTGAATGGGAGAACCAGTTGTTCGCGGTTTGCAGAGCAACACCAATGCTCGAAGCAGGATGGCCAGAGACTAAACCCAGATAACGATAGAAACCAGCACAGCCGTGAAACGGAGGCGCGAGCCATGGCTGGCCAGTTGCCCGGAAAGCAAGGAAAGAAGAAGATGACAGCGCGGAGACTGCTGGTCGAAGAGACCCGCAGCGAGCCGGATACCGTCTCGAGATATCGATAGCACAATTAACTGCGCAGCAAATGGTACCGGTATAACACGGTAGTTCGCATATCAGAACCTCAAACGATTGGTACAGAAAGTACAGCAGGACCGTCGTGCCGACATCAGCCCAATCGGTACACTACCTCTGTAGAATCGCTGTAGAGCCACTAGCCAATCAAACGTACATAGCCGACTGACGTCACAGCCGACTGACGTCAGTCGTGCATTATTTATTTATTTACTTATTTATTTATTTATTTAATTTTTATTTAATTATTTATCTCTCTCTCTCTCTTCCTCGACGGTGTGACAGCTCCGATCAGTTCTCTCGTCAGTGGCAAGTCTGCAGTGTTTGGTCGGCGAGGTTTGAGGCGATATGGCCATGCGACTACCTAGTATCTCCCCTCTCCTCTCTCGCCACAGGAGGTATAGATATAGAGAGATGAGAACACCCAATTCTCTACGCGCTGAGCTGAAGCTAGTCCAACATCCGGTACTATAAACCTGCTGAGTGTAGAATCAGCAGCTTAGTGAGAGTGAGTGCGTACTCGTAGACCTGTTAAGGTTCACTTAACCAGACCCACTCCCCTAGATCCAAGTACCACTATGTAGTAGC